TTTTCTTGTTAAGATTGAGTAATATTCCTTCTGATGGATAAACACATTTTGCTTAGCCATTCATTTATCCATGGACACCTGGGTTGCTTTTGTATTTAAGATATTGTTACTAAAGCTGCTATGTATGTGGACATATGAATAATCTCTTCAGGTCTTGCTGTTGGTTCTTTCGAGTCTATACCAAGAAATAAAATTGACATATCACATACTAATTCTGCTTAAATTCTGTTTTCAGCCTTCTAATCTTTTACCACAAGCTGTGTTCTTACAATGACTAAAAAGAGGAGGCAAAGTTTGTTAGTGTACAAATATGGGTTTTTTGGGGGGGAGGTTGAACTCAGGGCCTCATGCTTGCTAGGCAGGAACTCTATCACTTGAGCCACTCCACTAGCCCTTTTTTGTGATGGGTTTCTTTGAGAGATAGGGTCTCCAAAACTGTTTGCCTGGGCTGGCTTGGAACTGTGATCCTCCTGATCTCTGCCTCCTGAGTAACTAGGATTACAGTTGTGAGCCACTGGCACCTGGCTCATTGGGGTTTTTTGTTTGGTTGGTTTTGTTGTTTTTTTGAGATAGGATCTTGCTATGTGATCCAGGCTGGCCTGGAACTCGCATTTCTTGCAGGGTGGGACTAGTACTAACAAACTCTTACCAGCTTTTATTTCTCTGGCAGCATCTTAATTTCCCCAAATTTTTGAAGAATGTTTTTGTTGCAAATTCTTAGTTAGCAGTGTTGGTCTTTTAGCACTTTGAGTATATTGACCTACTACCTTCTTCTCCAATGTTTCTGATGAGAAATCTGCTGAAACAGTTAAGGATCCCTTATATGTGATGCCTTGCTTGTCTCTTGATGCTTTCAAAATTCTCTGTCTTTTCAAAGTTTGTAGTGTGTCTCATTGTGGGTCTAAGTTCATCTTAGAATTTGTTGAACTTCTTCAATGTTTATATTGTCATTGAATTTAGGAAATTTTTAGCCATCATTATTTCTTCATGTATTATCTCTGTTCTTCTCCTTTCCCTTTCCCTCTCCCTCTCCTTCTCCTTCTCCCCCACCCCTCCCTTTCTGGGACTTCCACAATGTATATGCTGATTCTCTTGATAGCACCCACAGGTCTCTTAGGCTCTGTCCTTTTCCTCAGTCTTTTTTCTTTCTGTTCCTCAGACTTGTTAATCATCATTGTCCTGTCTTCAGGTTCACTGATTCTTTTCTTCTTCCTAGTGAATTTTTCATTTCAGTCATAGTTTTTCAGCTCTAGAATGTCTTCTTGGTCTTTTTGTTTTTCTGTCTCTTTATTGCTATTTCCATGTTGTTCACATATCATTTCCTTAACCTTCTCTACATCTTCATTTAGTTCTTTGAGAATCCTTAAGACAGTCATTTTAAAATTTGTCTTGTGTGTGTCTTGACTTTTGAATGGACCTATTTTTCTGTTTGTATGCTCTGTGATTTTTTTTGTTGTTGTTGAAACTAGATATTTGGATTGAATATTGTTGTGACATTTTAAATCAGATTCTTCTCTCCCCCGGACTTGCTGTTTTTGTTATTTTTGTGTGTGTTGTAGGCTATCATTGTCACTTTTCCTGTAAAGTACATGATCATTTTTAAATTTTTCTCTGTATATACATTTGTTTCTGATTGACTTAGTGTTTAATGTCTGTCTCACAAAAGAGGAAGAAGCATAAAGAGAGCAGAGATGTGTTGTTGTTACCATGCTAAGAGCTGAAATTGACCCAATTAGCCTCTTTTTACCCTGTGAACCTTGCCTTGGAAGTTGCAAGCCTTCAGTAGATTCCTGAGTTCCCCAATACATCACACAGCTCTGCCTGGGTAATTGTGATCTAGGTAGAGAGAAAGATTCCTGATGTTTCATACTGCTTCATCTCTGCAGACACTATGGCTAACTGATTGGTCATGGTTTCTAGGCCTTTTAAGTGGAGGGAGCTAGTAAGTACCTTTAAAACATAGAAAGATTTTTAATTTTAGGCTCAAGCAATCTTCCTGCCTCACCCTCTGGAATAATTGGGACCATCCACCACTGTGCCTGGCTAAAACACATAATTTGATTTTATATTACTACTCGTCATGTTCCAAGAACAAAAGAATTGCAAAGAAATTTTAGCTTGTTTGTAGTTACTGTTATTTTTAAACTGTTTACATATTTGTGAATAGAGCAAAAAATAATATTCTTAGGAACCAGCCTTTTTTCAAATAAAAATGATTCAGATGTTAAGTCAAAGAAGGTAGGTCAAAATTCTATAGTTCTAAATTTGAGTTTGAAATATCAGCATGAATTCATGAATGATCCCTTTAAAAAAAGAAAAAAAAAGTACTTAATAGCTCTGTCCTCTGAAAAGGCTAGAAACAGTGACCAACCCAGTTGGACATGAGTGTCCAGATTCTCTAAGAGTATAAATGCCATTCCCCACTAATAGAGACTAGGACTCCTTTGATTAAAAAAAAAAAACAAACAAACTTGATTACAGCTTTAGAATAAAAATATGTGCAAACTGAGCATAGAACACCTGTCTTTCCAAAAAGCAAGGGAAATACCAAGGATACATGTGAGTACCAGAAGGACTTGGGAGCCAATTTGAAGAGGTTCTCTCAATGTCCAAGGAATGGGCAACTGAGCATCACCATGAGTAGTAACTGCAATGAACTGAATCACAACAATTATGTTAGAAGCATGTATGCGTAATGTACACTAGACAGCAACAAGAATTTCAAAAACCAAACCTCTTTGAGTTCTGTTAGGGAATCTAAGGGATCTGAGACATCTTGGAAGGTTTTGGTAAATTAGAGAACAGAGCCCAGCATCTGCCTTTACCATACAAATTCTAGCTCAGGGTGTTTCCAGTTTGCAAGGGAAACTTATTTCTTATAGAATTCCAGCTGACAAATGCAGCAGGAATAAAAGCTAGACTGATGCCATTTCGTGTGGAGGCAAATAGTTACTATACCCTTTACATGAACAGTTAATGGGACTTTTATAATGGATGAATATAGATAACACCTGGCCTATTGAACAATCTTAACATCCAAAAAGGGACATTCAGACATGTGCTCCATGTGGATTTGTAAGTGGGTATACAGAACACCATGTGCCAAAAAACCAAACCTTGTCCAGTCAGGGCTCTAGATCTGTCTTCCAGTTTATAGGAAATTCAGGAAGAAAGGACCATGATAAACGACCCCACAGAAATCTAAAACAAAATATTAATTGTGGCAAGCTGTACCAAACTACCCACCCAGTGTCTTCTACAAATGGATTACCAAGAGTAAGGGGGAAATTTTTAAAAAATAAAAAGAGGGAGGGAAAACTATAGACCAACAGAGACAAGACATATTTTTTAAAAAACCAAATAATGTATAGTTTTGTCAGATTCTGATTTCAGCATGGAGCACTTAACATGAATATTTAATGATATTAAAAAGATTATTAAGATGAGCATAATAGTGAGATTATATTTTTAAAAATAATCTTATTGAGTAGACTAGATAATAAAATAATTTAGAAGTGAGTGATGGGAATAAGTTTGGCTATGCATTTGTAATTGTTGAAGGTAGTTTTTTTGTTTTGTATTGTTTTGTTTTTTGGCAGTACTAGGGTTTGATCTCAGGCCCTTGTGCTTGCTCTACCACTCATGCCACACCCCTAGCCCTTTAGCTAGGTGAAGAGAACGTGGAGTATTATTATATTAGTCTTTTTCCTTTTGAATATACTTGGGATTTTCCATAATAAATGCCTGGGCTGGGGTACAGCTCAATTGTGGAGTGTGTGCTTAGCATGCAGAAGGTCTGGAGTTCAATCTCTAGTTCCCTTTTCCCCCTCCCCTTCCCCCAAAAAAAGTCTATGTAAAGAAGTAAATAGGTGGTGGTGGAGATTTCTCTTTCTTTGTTTTTTAATTAGATAAAATATTTGTTTGGCTCATTACTTTCATTAATCACTCTTTCAGGTCCTTTCTTCATGGAAGGAATCTATTCATTCAGAAATATTTATTCATTTATTTTTTCAGTGTTTGAATTAATCAAGTTTGGCTTTTCCTTTTTCAAAATTTTTATTACATTGTGCTGGCGAAGATTTTTCTTGAAGAGTATTTTTCATACTAAGTTAAAATACTCTGATATGATTCCAGAGTAATCATAGGATGTGATGAAATTATCAGGAAAAATAGGAGACTCAGACTCTGGGTTGACTTTACTGGAAGGTCGTAGCAGTGTGGCATCAGACTAAGAACTCTGGAGAGCGAACTCAATCAGAGTTCTTATAGAAGATGAAAATTCCTCTTTTGTATCTTGGGGCAGCACTTAGTGCTGTAGCCAGGTTTCTAACCTTACCTAGGGACACTTTTGAAGATTCTTATTTGCAGTTGCAGAAGTAGTTATCAAAAGACTAAGACTCTCTCTTTTTCTCCTGTCACCTGAGGCCATATCTGTTCTGCTAAGTATCCCTGGGAAAGAATCTGAATATTGAAAAAGATTGGAAGAATCTCTGTTAAAAACAGATTCTGGGCAAACTTACCTGTGTACTAGTCTCAAGTATTGATTTTACATGGGTGGGCTCTGTAAGACTCAGGCTGCCGTCAATCTAAAACATTCTTTGCGCATGGATATTTCAAATGCTTCATTTTTTAGGACTTGCATGGGGGAGAGGATCCAATGATGCTGTCTTCCTTTACCCAGCCCCCTTTGTCTTTTTACTTCTAACACTGACACACGTACATTCAGAGATTTTTGGCTTTCTTCTTCCTTCCATCATATCAGGAGGAAAGAAATAGAAAGCCTAGTACTTTTGCTATGTAAATATTTATGTACCTATTTTCTTTTTAGTTACTACATATTAAATAATAACTTGAGCTGGCCATGGTGATGGACATCTGTTGTCTCTGCTACTCACGAGGCTGAGGAGGGATTAACACTTGAGTCCAGAAGTTCAAGACTAACCTGGGCAACACAGTGAGACCCTGTCTCAAAAAAAAAAATGATTAATTTTTCCTTTCAGGTGCGGTGTCTTAAAGACTATGGAGAGTTTGAAGTTGATGATGGCACTTCAGTCCTATTGAAAAAGAATAGCCAGGTATTTCTTATTGTCAGATGCTTTGCTTTAAATCTTGTAAGAGTGTTGAATGTGGAAATGTTGGAATCAGTAGCAAAATAAATACCACCTTGTGATGATCATCCGTGTCTTAGGAGTTATGTTTAGTATGAGACACCCTGTTCTGTACTGTTTCTAAATATGAAGACTTAAAGCAAATGTTTCATGTAGTAAGAAATGGTTGAAAAATTTACTAGGATATCGCTTATATTTAATATTAAGCATTTTTCAGAGAAACAATTTTTCTAGTAAAGTGATAGGTCAAAATTCTGGGGCTATTAAACTGTTGGACATGGTGCCTGTATTTGAATTATAATTTATCATGAAGTTCCTAAGCAATCACTCTCAGCTTGTACTTTACCTTAACCTACTTATCTAGAAACAACAGTGAACTATCAAAGTTTTCTAATTAATTACTACATAAATATAACAGTTTAATAGGGAAAGATTGAAATTGAATTGTAAAGTTTTATCGTGATCTATGGGTTCACATTAGCTAAATTGATTTTTATCCTATCCATGTTTCCGACATCACAGTATAGGAAGAAAAAAGCCCTCATAAAAGCTACTCTTTCTTTCTTTGCCTACCATCATGATATTAACCAGTTAGTTGAGGCACCAATTTCTACTGCTGGGTGCCCTGGTAGATGTAGGACACTAATGAATCAGAAGCAGGTGATGAATAATGATGTCACAAAAATACGTATTTCTAGAAGATTCATCAGGAAGCTGCAGTTTATAAGAACAAAGCTGTCCTCAGGAAGCAAGATACGTGAAAGCATCACCTCACCCCCAACACTGTCCCATGATTGAATTTTCCTGAAGCTTTATGGCTGATCTGGCCTCCGTGTGCTGAGGCAGCGATGCCTAAGCCTATGGTATCCTGCCCATCTGCTCTGATGTGATGGCAACCAGCCTTCTTTCTGTGCCACTTTCAGCCTTGTTTCTCAGTGTCATCTACCCTCAACTATAGAATGGAGACACCAAAATAAAAACTTACAGCAGCTATATTTGAAACCTCTTATCAAAATTTGATATTAAATGGTTTCTAAAAATGTCCAATCACATCTAAAATTGATTGTCTATAGATCTGTGGTATAGATCATCCACATAATGTGAACACTGATAGAGAAACATTTTCTTGCCATATATTCTTTATTTGTCAGTATGGTAGGCATTCTTTTTTGTCCAGAAATCAGAACTCCCTCCTGTTTTAAATAACAGCATGAGAATAATTTTTAAACAAATCATTCCATGTGTTTGACATTCTGAAGACTTTTTAAAAACTCAGTTAACAAGAGAGCCAGCCCTTTGCATGGGTCTTCCATGAGTTTGGAAGAATTTGGTCTCAGGTCTCCCATAAGGATTTCTGAGGCAGGGCCTGCAGGAACACAGTGCCACTGAAGTTACATTTTGCTTCTTGAATAGTTTTGATAATCCCTCAAATTATCCCTCAAATAGTTTGATATCCCTCAAATCCCTTAGATTATTTTCTAAGGTTATTTGCCCTGTAATTTGTAACATACTGTTTTTAGTTTTTACCCAATTACATCTTTCTCTGAGATTTCTTTGATCGCCTGTGAGCTTGGAAATACCTCCCTGGCATGCCTCTGCACCTCCCTACTCCACAGTGCAGTGAGTCTCACTTCTGCTTCAAGCCCCATGTTTGGAGAGGGAAGGAAACTTCTTTCCTCCTGACCATGATCCCTCCAGAGCAATAGTGGTGTCCTCTCAGGAGGAAACGGACTGTTTCCATTAGCTGTTACCAAGGTCTTCACACAGCATGTGAACAATACCCATGTTGTAGGCTACCAGTACTTTTAATCCTTAAAAATACAGGGAAGTGTTGCCATGGTTGTTACTAGCAGAACAAGTGTTCAGATCCTCAAATCCTGGAGGAGTTTTCATGGAGAAGATGCTCTATTTTGGTCTCCCTAATGGGCAGCTGCACCACTTATAATTCAGTGCCCCAAACCTCTCCTTCCTGGGTTTTTCTGTGCATAAATTCTAAAATGCAAACACTGTGGAAAAACCAACTAAAATTCAGAAGTCTTCAGTTGAATTTAACTTAAATAAACTATGGATTCATTTATAAAAATCAGCATTTGGTATTTAATACAGCTCTAAGTGCCAAATATAGCTGAGCATGGTGGTACACACCTGTAATCCTAGCATTTGGGAAGCTGAGGCAGGAGGATTGTGAGTTATAGGCCAGCCTGGGCTACATAGCAAGACCCTGTCTCAAAAACAAACCAACAAAAAGTCCAGCAAATATAGTTAAGTTTAGGTATTAATTACTTAGCTGTTGGAATTAGAAAAATTATCTGTTGCTGCTTTTTTTTTTTGGTGGGATTGGGGTTTGAACCCAGGGCTTCTCACTTGCAAAGCAGTTATACTCTACTGCTTGGGCCATACCTCCAGTCCATTTTGCTCTGGTTATTTTGGAGATGGGGTCTTGAGGACTTTTTGCCCAGATCGGCTTTGAACTGTGATCCTCCTGATAACCTTTCAAGTAGCTAGGATTACAGGTTTGAGCCAGAATGGCTGTTTTTTAATTAAACAAACTGTAATTTAAAAAAATTTTCTCAGTCACTTCTCTTACCCTCTATCCCCTTTGCCCTCAGCACTTTTTGCCTCGGTGGAAGTGTGAACAGTTGATCCGACAAGGAGTTCTGGAGCATGTTCTGTCGTGACTATGTCTGGGATGACCACACGTGGAGGCACTGCCAGGCCTTGATTGGTGTGAAACTGAACCCAGCTTACAGAAACATCAACACTTAAACCTCTCCACGCTCCCCGCACCTCCTTCTTTGATTTTAAATTTACAGATATTCCTTAAGATAACCAAGAAGGGCTGTGGTATAGCTCAGTGGTAGAGTGCTTGCCAGCATTCATGAGGCTCCAGAGGGCTACCATCTCCACACCTCAGCCAGCAACAAACAAACAAAGCCCAGAAATACATGGCTAAGGAGTATAATTTGCTAACTATTAAGGTTTTGTATCATACATCTGTATCATACATCTCCTTTTTGTTACAAGTGGTATTTATAATCATAACATTCTCATAGTTGGTACCCTGTCCTTTTATAAATGAAAATAAATATTAAATTTGAATTTCTTTTTTAAGGAACAGAGTCACTTAGTGGTAAAGGCAGAGGCAGATCCTTACACGTATATCTTGCTCATTTTCTGGTAGTGTGCATTGGGCATGCCAGAGGGGTGCATTTCTGGAATGCATGTTTGTAAATCCTTAGGGCAGGTAAAGATGATTGTTGATAAAAATTCCAGTATCTGTAGTGTGTATGGTGTAATAACTTATCATCTGATTACTGGGGAAGGAAGAAAGAAGGGCAGTATGGACTTTGTATGTTTCCAGCAACGATGGCTGGTCTGGCACGGAGCTCCATGCCAGCTAGTGAGTGGGCGCCAGTCTCTCCACTTTGTTAAGAGATTGGGACTAGAGATGGAGCTTTGTGCAGTCTCCCCAGGTTCACATTGACTGAGGAATCACATGGAGAGTTGGTCAGCTAATTGGAGGGCAGTTTTTATTGTCTGCTGACGTGACTAGTAGGAGTAAGAGACACACAGTGGCTTGTCTCAGGGTTGGTGGCCTTTTCCCACCAGTCTCCTCCACAACTGGCCAGGCCACATCATCTGAAAGGACTTCAAAGCCTAGATAAGCCAGCTTCTGGCACATACAATATTTGCAGTTTTGTTTTTATACAGGGGAATGTTTCTGGCCAAAGTTACACTCAAGAAATCAACTGATAGTGAGATTTTACCTTAGTTGTGCATATGAATTTTTAAAAAAATATTTAAGGTGTAGACTGCCCTTTGCAGGTTATTTTCATTATTGAAAGAAATTTCTGTCGAGTTTCTGTAGCCAGATCAATTTTCACCTAAAATTGTTTGCTGAAGACAATAAGAAAAAATCTCCCTGTGTTAAAAAACAAAACAAAACAAAAAACCAAAAGGGAAAAAAAAAATCTTCCTGTGAATGGGGTGGATGCTGTTGATTCAGCTGTGGGTCTGTGCTCACTTCTCAAGTCCACTCCCAGAGACATGAAACCATGCACACAGGAGAACCCCACAGCCTACTCGGTATGGCTCTGAGGGCAAACGTGAAGGGCAGTGTCACGTCCCTCTTGGACTTTTGCCATATGTGTCCTTGTTGGAGTCTCTAAACAAAACAAAGTATAGTCTTTATTTGGAATGTGTACTAATTGAATTCTTGAAGTTGTAGAATTTGTATCCATTTATATTGACTGGCTCTCTATTTAGAACTGTGGCTAGAATTTTTAAAACATACAGTGTTTTTCCTTATTTTAAAAGTAACATATATATGGCCAGGCACCAGTAGCTCACACCTATAATCCTAGCTACTTGGGAGGCTGAGATTGGGGGTAGGGGAGGATCATGATTTGAGGTCAGCCCAGGCAAATAGTTCACGAGACCCCCATCTCCAAAATAACCAGAGCAAAATGGACTGGAGGTATGGTTCAAGCAGTGGTGTGAAGCTCTCAGTTCAAAACCCAGTCCCACCAAAATAAATAAATAAAACATATATGCAGTTTCTTTTCTTTTTGGGGAGTTTGAACTCAGGGCTTCATGCTTGCAAAGCAGGTACTCTATCTCTTGAGCCACTTCTCCAGCCCTTTTTTGTGTTGTTATTTTAGAGATAGGTTCTCGTGAACTGTTTGCCTGGGCTGGCTTCGAACCTCAATCCTGATCTCTGCCTCCTGAATAGCTAGGATTACAGGCGTGAGCCACCAGCAGCTGGGTGTGCAATTAAAAAAAAATGGTTCAAGCATATAATACAGAAAATGAAGATGTGTTCTCCCTCGCCCTAGTAAGCATCACCACCTAGTGTGTCTACTGTTAGCTGGTCCGTTTCTTTATAATCCTATTTCTTTTCAATGTTTTTCCAACTATTTTCTAGTTTTTGTTCCTAATGTGAATGGAATCTTTAAAAAATGTTTTAACTGGCTTTGAATGATACCTATAAAGAAAGCTGTAAGTCAGGATGTTGTGACCACTTTCTGATATTTATGGGAACTCATTTGTTTTTCGCATTGATTTTGCTGCAAAGAACTTTTAGGGAAATGCTGACTTCTGCTGTGATAGCTGAAGCCGCATCTTCCTGACCTGACTGGATGCTTCAGTCTTATTGTCACTCTTTCCCATGTTTCTCCAGGAAAAATACCGAGGCTTGTGGCCTCCTCCAATGTAACTTGAAACTTCAAAGTAAATTCAATACCATAATTTAAAACATGCACGACAGTGGTGATTAACAAGTATGATTTCCCCAAGTGCACTTTTATAACCTGAGTGATGATTGTGTGGTTGCTCACTTAACCCCAGAATGTTATGCATTATATACATGGAATTTTCTTGAACTGTCCTGCCCAGGATCTGAGCTAACTTCCTTTTGGGCATGGTATGTTCGCCATTTAGTGAATGGCAAGACTTCATATGCTGGTATTTTTTTTTGGTGGTGAGGGGGCGGATTACAATTGTAAGCCATGGTAGTTTATACTGTTTTAGAAAGAGGGTTGAATACGCGTGAGAGAGTCTATCCTTTATTAGTGTTTTGAGTATCTATTCTCAAGAAACAAATCACTCAAAACCTGGTGGCTTTATTTTTTTTTTTTTGTAAACAAAAGTTTATTAAGTTGTAGAAACTTAGCCTGTAGGGCTGGTTAATAAGTGATACCAAATGTGCCTGTCCTAGAAAAAAGTGCCAGAGATTTTAAAATGGCCTTCTTAAAGGGCCATTCTGGCCCACTCTAGGCTGGCACAGTGGCTTAAGCGGTAGCATACAAAAGCCCCCAGTACCGCCAATCAAAAAGGCCTGATAACATAATGTGATCACATTTCTGCACCAAATGCTGATGCCGTGTTTCCAGAATCCACGTTGATAACAGCTACTGATCCTCAGGACTGACCATCCTCTGGAAATATATAGCGTCCTCCTGGGCTGAGCTGCTAAGTCAAACCTGGTGGCTTTAAATGACATCATCTTATTATCTCAGTTCTGCAAGGTGACTAGGCTCAGCTGAGCAGTTCTGTAGCTCTCGCTTGCGGTGTCTGATACAGCTGCATTTCAGTGCTGGGCTGGCAGAGATGGCTTGGCCTCCTCTCTGCATGTGACCTCCCCACATGGTTTTCTCCAACAGGGTGGCAGGGGTTCTCACCTGACAGCTCAGGACTGCCACAGTGTCAAGACAGTGGAATTGGGAGCTACTACTTTTCTGGAAGGCCAGGCCTGGTGCTGGAATAGCCTGCCAAATTCCATCAGCACAATCACAAGCTCGGTACCCACTTTCACTGCAGGGACTGTGCACACCACATGAAAGCAAAACACCAGGGCCGTTTGGTGTTCTGGTCTCCTGGATTTTGAATGTTCTTTATATAGATTACCACTTTTTTTTTTTTTTTTTTTTTTGTGGGACTGGGCTTTCAACTCAGGGCTTCATGCTTACAAAGCAGGCACTCACAAAGCAAGTGCTCTACTACTTGAACTACACCTTCAGGCCATTTTGCTCTGGTTGTTTTGAAGATGGGGTCTCCAGAACTATTTGCCCTAGCAGGTCTTGAATCTCAATCCTCCTGATCTCAGCCTGCAAAGTTGTGAGGATTAACAGGTGAGAGCCATTACCACCCGGCACAGATATAACTCCTATGTGCTTTGCAAAGACATTTTTCCTAATTTGTGACATCCTAATCAGCCTCTTAACGGTATATTTTAAAGAATAGTATTTTTAAATCTTGGTGAAATCCACTCTTAATACTTTTTTCATCTTTAGGAATTATAGTACAATTAAGTATGTGATCCATCCTGAGTTCATTTCTGTCTGTGGTACAAGATGTGGCTCCAAGTTCACTTCTACTGTTCCCTTGTTCTGCAGATACACAACTGTTCCAGTTCCATCTGTTGAAAAGGCTGTTTCTCTGCTCTGTCATTCTCACACCTTTGTCAAAACATAGCTATCTGCGTGTGTGTGGGTTTATTTCTGGACCCCAGTTCTTTTCCCATTTTTTCTTTTCCGGACACCAATATCATGCTATTTTTATGTACTGTATGTAATGTATATAATTTTTATAATGTTGAAATAGGTAATGTTAATGCTTTTTTCTCTTTTCATATTTGTTTTGCCTATGCTAAGTCCTGTGCTTTTCATCTGAAATTTAAGATCAGCTTGTCAATTACTACCAAAACTAAAAACAATCAAAAAAGACCTGCTAGCATTTTGGTTATGGTTGTGATGAATTTCCATATCTGTCTGGGATAAGAAAAACATCTTGACCATACTGACTCTTTTGGCCCATAAGCAAGGAGTTATCTTCCCATTTGTTCCTGTCTTCCATTTCTCTAAATATTTTGTCGCTTTCTGTGTATAGGTCTATCAAGTCTTTTGTAAGCATTGCATAATTTTGAGACAAATTGGTATTTTTAAATTTCAAAGTCCAACAGTAAACAGAAAATAGTTGATGAACCTGTATCCTGCAGCCTTGCTGAACTAATTCATTCTCATAGCTTTTTTTGGTAAGTTACTCAAGTTTTCTACATCCACTGTCATGTACTCTATGAGTATAGTTTTACTCCTTCATTTATAATCTGGATACCTTTTATTTTACTTTCTTGATTGCTCTATTAGAAACTCCAGTATTGAATAAAAGTAGTCAGAGAATGCACCTCTTATTACTAATCTTAGGGGGAAGGCTTTCAGTCTTTCACCATGAAATACAATGTTAGCTCTTGAATTTTTAAAAATCAGAAATAAATGTCAGATGCTGGGCTCAGTCGCTCATACCTGTAATCCTGGCTACTTAGAAGGCAGAGGTCAGGAGGATCATAGCTCCAGGCCAGCCTGGGCAAAAAGTTCATGAGACCCCTTTTTAACCAATAGGAAGCTGGGCATGGGAGCATGAACCTGTCATCCCAGTTTATGTGGGAAGTGTAAATAGGAGGATCACAGTTCAGGCCAGGCTGGACACAAACATGAGACCCTATTAGAAAAACACCTAAAGCAAAAGGGCTGGTGGTGTGGCCCACGTGGTAGAGTTCCTGCCTAGCAAGCGCAGGGCCCTGAGGTCAATTCCCAATATTGGAAAAAAAAAGGGGAGGATATTAGGTGGTGTATCTTTTTTTTTCTGCATCTACTGAGATGATCCTAGGGTTTTTGTCTTTTTTAAAGCAAAATCATCTGGTGAATTACAGTGGATGACTAGTTGACTGATTTGCCAAGATTAAGCCAACCCTTCATTCCAGCTAGAAATCCCATTTGGTCATCATGTATTTTATCCTTTTTGCTAGATTTTATTTGAACTTTTTATGAGGAATACTGGTCTGTAATGTTCTTTCCTTGTCTGTGTGGGTGAGAATATTACTATTGTCCTTGTAGAATGAGTTGAGAAATATTGTCTCCTTGTCAGTTGTTTTTGGGAAAGTCTGTATGTTTGGTATTATCCTCTCTTTAAATATTTAGCAGAATTCATGTTTGTGATGTTTGGTTCTGGGGTGTTTGTGAGAATGCTAACCATCATTTCAGTTACTTTAATTGATACAGGCCTATGCAGGCTATCAATTTCTTTTTGAATGAGCTCTGGTAATTTGTGTCTTATCTAATTTACATAAGTTGTCAAAGTTATTGTATAAAGTGGTTCATAATATTGAATTTTGCTTGAATATCTTTAGACTGTCATGATGTCACCTCTCATTCTCATAATGGTAAATTAATTTTTTCTCCATTTTCCTTGTACATCTGATTAGATGCTTGTCAATTTTATTAATCTTCTGAAATAATCTCTGGTTTTATTGCTTTTCTCTATTATTTTTCTGTTTTCTATTTCAGTACCACTTTTTTTTTTCGTACCTTGGACTTTGTAGGCTCCATAGTCTTGGTTACAGCTGCTTAGTGCTGCTGTTGTAGCACAAATACAAATATAAACAATATGTACATAAATGTGTGTGGTTGTTCCAAAGTACTTATAAAAACAGGCAGTAGGGTGGGCTTAAGCTGCAGTATGTGGTTACCAACCCCTGTTCTACCCTTTGACTTCATCTGTGATCTTCATCATCTTTGGCTTTCATTTGATCTTTTTGTAGTTGTTTAAAGCAGATGTTGAGGGTATTGATTTGAGACCGTTCCTAATATAAGTATATGGTGCTATGAATTTTCCCCTAAGTAATGCTTTGACTTTGCCCCACAAATTTTGATGTATTATTTCATTTCCACTCAGTTCAAACTATTTTCTAAGTTTCCCTTTGCTACAGTTTATGTCTGGAATGTCCCAAAGTCTATATTATGGGCTTTCCTCAGTTTGGCAATACTGAGAGATGGTGGCACCTTTAAGACCCTAAGTCAGGGGTCCATGGCTCATGCCTCTAATCCTAGCTACTTGGGAGGCTAAAATCAGGAGGATTGCAGTTTAAGGCTAGTCTGGGAAAAAGTTCACAAGACCCATCTCAGTCAATGATTTGGTGAGGTAGCGTGTGCCTTTCAACCTGGCAACAGTGGAAAACTTGAAATGGAAGGGTCATGGCCCAAGATTTCCTGGGCAAAAAAGTGAGTCCTTATGTCCAGATAACCAGAGCAAAAAGGGCTGGAAGCATGGCTCAAGCAGTGTGAAGAAAGCACACTGTCCAGCCCTGAGTTCAAACCCTAGTATCACCAAAAAAAAAAAAAAGAAAAAAAAAAGAGGTAGGGCCACTAGTGGAACTAGTGGAAGAAAGTTAGGGCATTGGGAAAGTACACTTGAAGGAGATATTGGGACCCTAGTCCCTTTTTCTTTCTCATTCACTTCCTGACCATGAGTTGAGCAGCTTCTCCATCACATGCTCCCACCATGATGTACTGAGCCACAGCAGGCCCAAAGTAACAGGGCCATGTGATCATGGACTGAAAACTCAAACTGGGCACCAAAATAAACCTTTTCCCTCATTAAGTTGATTCTCAGGTAATTTGTCACAGTGGCAGAAAGCTAACTAACACATTTTCTGATTGATTGTTTCATGAGTTATTTAGAATGTTACTCAGTTTCCAAGAATTTTGGGATTTTTCCAGTTACCCCTTTGGTTTTGACTTCTAATTTAATTCTATTGTGAGCATAGAACATATTTTGGATGACTTTAATCTTTTTAATTTTTTGAGACTTATATTAAGGCCACAAACATGGTCTATCATGCCAGGTACACTTGTAGCAGGAAGGAGGATCAGAAGAAAAATAGACTAGGCCTGCGTTCTGATAAAGTAGCAAGGAGGTAGCAGAGAGATAAAACCTGAGTTCTGATAAAGTAGCAAGGAGGTAGCAGAGAGATAAAACCTGAGGAATCTAAACGTGGAGAGGGGAGGGGGAAAGTCATGATGCACTAGGGTAAAGTAGCCTATAGAATTGTATATAACCATATATGGACTAGACTTGGTTCTGTGACCTGCTTGCAAGGATATATAAGGTGAGACCCCTTTGTTTTCAGGGCTCAACCTTGGACACGAGTCCTGGGTCTGTGCCAGCACAATAAAATGTTTCCTGCTAAACTGCCTAAGTGTCCCATATCTTAGCTTGAGATTCCCGCAACACACTACTGTTTTTGGGCAATGGGTTCTATAAAATTCAATTTGTTAATAGTGTTTCAGATATATTAACTAATCTCTTTGTTACTCCAGTTCCAGAAAGAAGCCTGAAGTAAACAAAAAAGTGTACCATCCTGTGAGCTTTGACAAATCCATATAACCAGTGAAACACAAACTACATCGAGACTTAATATTTTAACAATTGATAGACCTCGTCCCTATTTGTTGTTTCCCTTTTTCAGAGTTTTCCAGATTATTTTGTTTCCTTATGTAGTTTTACCTATAACATTTAGACTGTTTTGTCCAATTCTGGGATAAGGGGTTGACTGGGGCAGGGCAATACATTGGAGATATATTGCATTTATCAATGACCTTAAAAAAATAACTTCATTCATATTGAATCTTCCTATCCCACAACTGATGCTTCTGTCTACTACAGTCTTTCAGGTTTTCCCATAGTACTGTCAAGTTTTTCTCCTACAAGCATATACAGTAAGTGCCAAAACAGATGGAAAGAGGTCGTGAGCCTCAGGACAGTGACTGCCCATAGGAAGGAGAGTGAGGGTAACAGAATGGGCTCTCTGCTTCTGTCTACAGCGTGCAGCAGAATCTCATCTTAACTACTTCTAGTTGATGGGCACATAGGTGCTTCTTATAAAACTTTCTATGTATTTAAAATGCTTTTAAAAACAAAAAACTTCGAAGTCAGTTTTGATAGAAAAATTTATTGCAAATACAGTGGCTTGTTTCATATTACAGTAGCACATTCTGGTAAACCAATGGCTATCATTAATGTATATTACAGATATAAAACTATATTTTTTACATATGTACATTTCCAGTGTGGTGACATTTCAATGAGGAGAAGATTGTATTCATAATAAACACCATCATCCCTGAGTCCATGACCACAGATAGCCCAGTCTCTGAAGGGGCTCGTTCACCGTTCATAGTGAGGGAAGTCTTTCTGGAATGTGTGTATAAACTCACCATTGAGAGTCCAAATGAGCTGAGCCAACACAGTAACTGAAATGTTAAATCTGTATAGCACCCCAATTCTGCATCTCAATCTTTCCAATAAACCATACAACACTGAAAGTATTTAACCACTTTTTCTTAGTTCTTTGCTGAGAGCCCCCAGAATCATTCTCAGCAGTGAGCATCAAAACTGGGGATGTGTAACACAGGGAAATTACCCAGGACCCCTAATAAAAACAGTTTATTGTACTATGCCTGCTTCCCCAGCATCTGGCACATAGCAGCAAACATTAAATGTTTGTGGGGTGAATAAGGAGCCCCAGTCTTTATGTGTCTGAGGGTACATGGCTAAGGAGCCATAAAGCATTATGGCATCAGAGTGGCTTGATTTTAAAAGATGTTCCTCAGATGAGCTCTAGGAAAACTATCAGTCTTTACACAGAGAGGGATGCTGGGGCAATCTTACTGATGAGTTTGTTGAGAGCTTGAACTTTTTCTTCCAAGATGCGGTTTTTCCTCTCGGCACCTCGTTGCTTCTCTTCTGTGACCTGAAGAGCTTTCATGAGGTGAGCGTTTTCCACATAAAGCTCCTTGAGCAGCAGATTGGATTTGGTGTTCTTTTCAAACTAGAGAGGAGAGCAAGCCACACATTACTGTGAATCTGGTGTAGAAACACTGTGCGGCCAGCCCCTCCCTCATCCTTCTGCATCCCCCCGCCAGTGGTCTAGCGGTTCTTGCAGCTCTGCCACAGAAACTGGATACTATGGCAATGTAAGAGAGAGGAACTGAGAATCTGCTGAACTATGTGGGGGAGAAAATTTAAGACAACTCCATGAGAATCATTTTTGCCACAAAATGAAGACCAGAAGCCCTCTTGTTCAGTGCAATGTAAAGCAATGAAGACTTCAAGTCCCCAAAATGTGTGGTTCATCTCTGCTCTGCTGTTGTGTTGCCACACGATGCACTGAGGCATGAGCTGGTCACCACGCACAGTGGCCAGAGGGGTTGCAGTGATGGGGAAACAGACTGTTCCATTCGGCAGTCCTTGCCACAATCTTGTTCAAGACAGGAAGACATAAAGACCTAATCACTGAGTTTCGCGAGTCCTCGTGGAATTCACCCATTCAGCAGGCATTTATGGACGTGCGTGTGCACCCACTACTGTGGCAACATCCCTGATCTTGCAGAGCACACATTCTAACAAAAGGGGCAGAGGGAAAAGAAACGCATGCATGAACCCAGCAGGAAACGGGCAGCTGGGGTTGATATGGTGTGTGCCATTTTGGGCTGGGGTAAACAGAAGGACCTCTAAGGACATATGGACAGAGATATGAATAAAGCCAGGGAGTAAGTCAAGGCTGGGTGAGATCGTGGTAGCAGAGGTAAGAACGTGCAAAGATCCTGTGGCTGGCACATACTTGGGATGTACTGTGGCTGGAGGGAGATGGAGCGGGAGGCAGGGAGGGAGTATGGGAAGGGGCTCAACTGTGAGTACTTTAGAGACCATTGTAAGAATTCTGCCTTTTACTCAAAGGACATGGGAGACTGAATGGTTCTGAGCAGAGGAGGGACAGGATAGTGTGTGTGGTTTTTTTTGGCAGTACTGGGATTTGAACTCAGGGCCTCATGCTTGCTAGGCAGATGCTCTACCACTTAAGCCACTCTATCAGCCCCATGTGTGTATTTCAAAAGGCTGGCTATGCTCCTGTGCAGAGTGTAGACTAGGGAGGAGGTAGGAATCCCATCAGGAAGCAGGAGATGAGGTGAAAAGTAGCTGGGTTTGGTATCACTTTGAAGGTGGTGCTATCACTAGACATGGACACGGGTTGGGGACTCAGCCATGGCCCCAAGGTCTTCCACCTGAGCCAGTGGCAGGGAGGATGGGAAGACAGGCAGCAGGCAGCTGTACAGACAACTCTGAAGGATATTCCTTAAGAGGAGGGGCGAACTGGTGGGCTGGGGGAGGGCAGGGACCTCTAAAAGTCCTAGTGGTGGGCAAGTCTTCAGCAGGTGACTCTAGAGGGGGCAGCCTTGGCAGAGGTAGAAGACACAGGACACAGAATGGCAATATGTCAAGAGCGCATCAACAGGTTCTCCTTGGGCATGTATACGCTCCCGTGAAGTAAGCAGCAAAGTCACAGCCCAGAGGTTAGAGGAGCTGGGGGGTCAGCGAGGAGAGAGCAGAAGGGAAGGGGGCCCCTGCAGGAGGAGGGGTGAGAGCACCAAGGAAGCAACAGGGGAAGAGACTGAAGGGAAGGTATGGCAGAGTCAAGGGACTTAACCAGAATTAAGGTTTTTCAGGCAAGGGACAAACTGAGGGTGAGTGCAAAGGAGTGACAGCAAGATAGAGGGAGGGCCCACACACAGGATGGCTCAGACAGGAACCTTCTACATGACTGAGACATAAATGAGAGGAACAGACACCTCCTCCCAGAGGTATTTCAAGGTGGAGGATAGATGCCGTTGGCTCCAACTAGGCATTTTCCGTTGAGTTGAAGGAAGACATCTGTCTCTTCAAACAAAAATATCTGTTTTATAAGATGCAACATCTAGCACATTGTTTCCCTATGAGAATTAATTTGGTTTCGAAAGGAATAAGTCCTGTGAATCAGTATTTTCTAGGTGGAGAAAGACTCATTTTGTTCCAAATAGGCCTATGCAGCTAACTTGAAGAAACACATGTATCTCTTGAAAGTAAATCATCTGTGTTAGAACCAGGAGGTTCTACCACATTGTTTCCCTGTAGAATTCGGTTAGTTTTTCAAAGGAATACTTCCTGGAACTAAGGTGGTGGAAGGTGGAGATAGACTCTGTTTGCTCCTTTAAAGTCTATTCAGCTGAGGTGAAAAAACCCATGTATCTCTCCAAAGAAAACCATCTATGTTAGAAGCCAGAGCATCTAACACATTGTATTCCAGGGAGAACTGTGTCAGTTCTGGAAAGGAATGCTTCCTGCAACTTTGGTGTTTCAAAGTGGAGATAGGCTGGGTTTGCTCCAAGTAGGCCTATTCAGCTGAGTTGAAGTAACACATGTTCCTCCCAAAGAAAACCATGTATGCTAGAAACTGCAGCATTTAGCACCTTGTTCTTGTGACAATTAAATTAGTTTTTGAAAGGACTATTTCTTGCAACGTAGTTGTTTCAAGGTGCAGAAGGTCTCTCTTTGCACTAAGTAGGCCTATTCAGGTGAGTTGAAGAAACACATGGATCCCTGCAAAGACAATCACCTATGTTGGAAGCCGCAGCTTCTAGCACATTGTTTCCCTTTGAGAATTAAGTAAGTTTTTGAAAGCTAATCACAGTTTTCAGGTTGGAGATAGGCTCATTGTGTCCTAAATAGGCCTACTGAACTAAGTTGATGAAACACATGCATTCCTAGAAAGAAAACCATCAAGGCTCAGGATCCCTCAGGTAAACTGAACATACTCAATTACTATGGAAAAGAACTATTTCTCCAGGTTTCACATTTCTCTTGAAACAACTGTGGCCATTTCTTCAAACAGTGAAAGAAGCTCTCCTGGAGAGCTGACCATGACCAAACCCACCTGTGTGTTTCTCCCTGTCCCACCCAGCAGGCTCCTGCAGGGCCTATACCTTGCCCCTTCCTTACCTATGCAAAGGCCATAGGTAGGAGGATCACAGTCCAAGGCTGGCCTCAGGGAAAAGTAGAAGACCCTATCTGAAAAATAACTAAAGCAAAAAGGTCTGGGGGTGACTCAAGTGGTACAGTGCCTGTCTAGCAAGCTCAAGGCCCTGGGTTCAAACTCCAGTACTGCCAAAACAAACAAACCAAAGTGATCTTGAAATAATTCCCCTAAAGAAAATAACAATGTACAACACAGCATGGGGTGTGTAGTCAGTAAAGTGAGTCTTCTGTGGATTCCTTTTAATTATTACTCTTTTAAGAATTTCTCTTTTAAGAATAAATTCTCTGCTGAAGTTTATTTAGATCCCTAGATCTAGCTGATCCAAATGACCAGGGAGCTCCCTGGATTCTGTGAAAAGGTAGTCAGTGTCTTCTGGATTAGCTGCTTGCACACCTGTGAAAGGAAGACTGGTTCCAAGGGAGGATGGGAAGGAGGCAAGGGCTGTCTGAACTCACTTGTTCTCTCAGCTCATCCACTTTTTTCCGCAGGAGCCATTCCACATTCTGCAGCCGCATCTCTGCCTCTTCCACTTGCTCTTCCCTGGCTTTCAGCTGCTGCTTGTGTTCTTCCTGCCAAAGAAGATGGTGATACATCAATGTTTATATTTTAAAAAAGAATCATCTCCAGGTTTATTAAAGTGAGAACTGACAAAAATGCACACACGAGAGTGATGTAGGTCACCTGCCTGTGCAGAATGGTGGTTTAGAAATGTCTGTCACAAGCCACAAAGCAATCATCTATAGATCAGAGACAATCTGTAGCCTCTATCCTCAAAGAACTGGTCCCATGATTTTAATTAGAAATGACACAAAAAGTGGGTCTCCCTTACTGCATTATTACCATAGTCCCCATCTTAGGTCACTCTATGGTAGTGTGACCTAAAGACAAGACTATGTCTGGGAGGACCTGCAGCCCATGGGCTGAGGGAACTTCAGAGTCACCGGGCTCCGTGAATCATAGCCTAAGAGACTCATCTCCCCTCCCTAATCCATCCTCGACACCTGCTAGATAGTCCCTTGTCACAAGAATCGGGGTCCTACAACTTTGCCATCAGCTGGCCCTTGGGGCCATCTTCCAACAGCCAGCTTGGAGCAGTCAAGTCCACACTCACCTGCTGCATGTCTAATTGCTTCCTGGTCTCTTCCTTCTGGAGGCTGAGTAGGTGCTGCAGCTCAGCCACATGGGCCTCAGGCACCAGCTGGCTCATCTGTTCCTGCAGACACTGGGCCTTCCGTGCATGCTGCAACTGTGCTTCCTCCAGCCTCAGGTGGGCACTGCACAACTGCATCTCAGAAGGACAACAGTTCGGGCGCTGACTGAAACTCTGGAGTCATCAGGAGACTCAGCAAAGGCACAATAAGTTATTCAAGGCAACCCCCACTGTGAGGGCAGTAGGGCTCCTTCCTTCTCTGTGGTATGACCCCAAGTGTGCAGCAGTACCCAAGGATCCACAGCCAAGTTCCCATCAGCCAGGGCACCTCCATGTGAGGAAGATGGGAAAGTTTACATATGTCACCCTCACAATAACAGTGCTGGGACTTCATGCTGCATCCACAGAAGGATCAGTGTCCTTCTGCAGCCTGCCTTACAGGACCAGAGTGAATATAACCTGTGCAAGCTGCTCATGGTAATACGCCTTTAGATGAAGAGTTCACATTTAAGAGACTTAGCTATGGTTTGAGTCCCAGAGTGTGATTAACAGAGAGTGGTTGAGGGGCACTGAGGCAGGTATAGAATTAACTGCAGCACCAAAGTCCCTGACCACAGATCTGAGTGCACAGAGTCCACTGAGTTTGTGAGTAGTCACTGTCCTGGTCCATTTTGCTCTGGTTATTTTGGAGATGAAGTCTGGAGAACTATTTGCCTAGGCTGGACTTGAACCACGATCCTCCCAATCTCAGCCTCCCAAGTAGCTAGGATTACAGGTATAAGCCACTGGTACCAGGCTAGTCACTGTCATTAAACTATGTAATTTAGCCACCTGCTATCATTAAGCAATTTAGGCAAAACTAAACACAATTTAAGTCAACTTGACTCTGGAGGCTTCATCTAGAATACACAGAATTTCCTTGGTATCCTAAAAGAACTGCTACTTCACACCGAGAGCTAATGATTTACACCTGTAATCCTACCCAGGAGGCAGAGATCAGGAAGATTGTGGTTCGAAGCCAGCCCAGGCAAATAGTTTTTGAGACCCTATCTCAAAAATATCCAGCACAAAACAGGGCCAGTATAGAGTTGTTCAAGCGACAGAGCACCTGCCTAGCAAGTATGAAGCCCTGTGTTCAAACCCCAGTAAAAAAAAAAAACCCGGCTACTTCACCCAATTCACCACTGAGACTTCATAGGTAGGAATGGGAACCACAGGTCTATTAAGGGGTTGCATCAGAGGCAGGTGTGATGTGACCACCTCAAGAGAAAGGGAAGGTAAATATCTGGGCCTGGTTAGCGCCTGACCAGCTGTGTGACCTCCAACTGGCCCAGCAGCCTTTCTGGGCAATGCTCTCAGTGCGTTGTTAACACTGCTGGGCTAGGACTAGACCAAGTGCCCCCAACAACCGCATATACCCACCTGGTCTTGAGTTTTTCCAAGGCTTTCTGTCAGCTGTGACTTTGACAGTCTCAGGCTGTGACATTCCTGATTCATGTGTTCAAGTTCAACTTCAAGTTTTTGGATTTGGTCATCCTATTTTTAAAAATACAATTTCATAAGTACAAATATCTTAGCAGTCTGATGCATTTAATGTAGAAACTTCAGAAAATTACAGAAAAGAAATTGCACACTTTAAATATCCTATGACCCCGAGTCCCACACCTGACATCCTGTTATAATTCCTTTGCCCCTTTCTGCACAAGAGCATTTTTATCAATAAGTTAGTATCAGAAAATATATATGCTTGTCCTGTATGGTGCTTTCTTCCTTACTGTATCTGGACATTTCCCTCCCACCCTGAATGTTTCTGGAGAACCTGGTTTTGATTTTATTTTATTTTTTGTGGTAGTGGGGCTTGAACTCAGGGCCTATACCTTGAGCCACTCCACCAGCCCTTTTTTGTGATGGGTTTTTTTGAGATGGGTCTCGTGAACTATTTGCCCGGACTGGCTTCAAACCACAATCCTCCTGATCTCTGCCTCCTGAGTAGCTAGGATTACAGGTGTGAGCCACTGGCACTCAGCTAGAGAACCTGGTTTTTAAAGGTTCCGCCACAATTTACTCATTCACCTAGTGTTGATCATTCAAACAGATTCCAGTTCTGTTTTGCTATTACACATAGCACAGCAATGAAAATACTACCAGCTAATTCTTTCTGTAACACTCTTGGATATAATTCCCACTAGCAGAATAATGAAGTCATAGCATATGGACATTCCTGAGGCTCGTATATATTTTGCTAAACTGCCTCTGAGAGGGTTGTGCCAATTTACTATCCTATCATCTGCATTTAACTCTGCTGCTTTCCAGATCTTGTGGACTTGCCAAAACTGCTCAAGTCCACCTACTTCTCCAGGGCTTGTGAAGCCCTTCACTTCATTGCTGGAGGTGCCCTCCTAGGGTTTGTCCTGACCTGTGTGCAGCTGAGTTTTCACTGCCAGGTTCCCAGGCCCAGCTGCCCTTCAGGGCCTGCATGGAGCCACCAGGCCCCCTCACCTTCTGCTCCTCCTGGAGCCCCGCCTCCTCCAGCCTCTGCATTAACAGTTGAATGGCAACTTGATTTTTCTCCTTCTCAGCCTGGTGGGTAGAAGCCTCTGCTTCCAGTTGAAGGACCCTGCAGTTGAACTGTGACAATTCATCCTTGTATTTCTGACTCTACATCAAAAAGGGTTAAAACACAGACTGAGAAAAATGCCTTTAAAACAACACCTTGATCTCAGGCTTCCATCCTCCCATACTATGAGAGAGAAATCTATGCCGGTTAAGTGCTGGTCTGTGGTATTTTAATATGTGATCCTTTGGACAGATCACAGCTAATATTCTACAGTTTTGCAAAAAGTTACTAATGGGGAAACTGAATGAATTATATAAGGAATTTTAAAAATATTTCTTACAACTACATGTGAGCCTATAATTGTCAATAAGAAACTTTAAAAATAACAGAGTAAGACATTCTAGTACACTATTGCACAGTAGGCTGACTATAGACAATAAAAATGTGCTGTTTATAAGAGCTAGAAGAAAAGATATTAAATATTTTCAACATCTTTGAAGAGTTTGAAGAGTTAGCCATGTTTAATCTGATTTAAACATTGCATAATGTATGTATGTATCAAAACATTACATAGCATCCTATAAATATCTGTAATTTTTATGTATCAGTTTAAAATTTTAATTGTAAAGATGACACATTCCCATCTGTGTGTTAGATCTTTAACAATTCAGTTAGAAATCTATGAAACAGGACCAATTACCAATGACATTTCTGGATGGGAGCAAAAGATGAGCCAGTGTAGGTGATTATGCCCATACAGGCTGAGAAGGATGTCTACATGCAGGGTAAAGGGACACTGATCAAACAGTAAGTATAAATATTGAGATGATGGAAACCAGGCCTCATTGTTGAAGAATTACAAATATAGAAAGAAAACTGGAATTATCCCTGTGACATTAGGTGGACTATGCAGATATAGGTTTGGATTTATAGTTTTTAATATGGAGATGTGTATAAATAAATATACTTAAAACTATATATATGCATGTGTGTATAGTATGTAAGCACACACATGTTCCCTAGCTGTATCCTGTCCAAAGAACACAGCAGTCACTTTGAAGGGCTCCCACTGGCCAAAACTGGGGCAATCTGAGCATTATGATAAATGGTGATGCTATAACCCACTAAAGAGTAATGTAATGACATAAATGAATGAATAAAGGGGAGAAGAAAGCCTTTCCTTACAGGAGAATGCCAACTAATAAAATTAAAAGGACAGAGTAATATTAGTCACTAATTGGCATAATTGCCACTGTAACTAACTCTGCCAAGAAACAAAAGGGTACTAAAATTCACAGGTGAGGGTTTGATAATGAACAGGATATTTACACAATATCACAGTCTCACCCCATAAAACACTCATTTGTTACAAAGGGAAAAGTAACTTTACTACAGAGAATCCACTTAACACATTACCCAAGCAATGAAAGTGACATCACCAGTAATGGGACAAATTACTGTATTCTTTAAGGGAGAAATGAAGATACAACATCACTTCTGAGTTGTCCCTGCTAAAAGAGAATCTGACTCAAGTCACAAGAAGACATCAGACAAACCCAAATGGAGGGACATGCTACACAGTTAGCACCTGTAATCACTGAAAATGTGAAGGCCCCAATAACCAAGGACAGACTGAACGAGGGAACTAAATGCCATGTCATTCCCAACATTCTAAACACCCGGCAGACCTGAGTGGGGTAGAGTGTCATATTCTTGCCAAATTCCTGAGTCTGAGGTAGACCTGGGGCGGGCAACTCATTTTCAAGTCTTTTAGGGCAAGTTCTCAACTTCCTTTTTGTAACTGAAATTATTTCATAATAATGTAGAAAGCTTTGTGCCAGGTATCAGTATTGACCTGTGTATTGAGCTCTTCCATTTCAAAACAGGCCTTTTCTTTGTCTCTCTTTAAAACCTCGATTTCCTTCCTGTTGAAAAAGCAAAATTAAAAATATTACTTCTCACCAATTGGCATTTTTTTTCTTGATCATCACCCGTTATGACATCAGCAGCTTGGATCTATAGCTACAGGACAGACGCTGCCACTGCCCTGGGACTGCACAAGCCACTGTCACCATCTCTGTGCCACTGATGCCACTGCTGCTGCTGATGGGAAGGAGGATGGACCCCAGCCAAAATCAGGGGCCTTAGGAATGCTAAAATGTTCAGATTTGTAGAGAAATAATACATTCCTAGTTTTGTAAGAACAAACAACCCCTGTGAAATTCCCCAATCACATACTATTTTCTTTTTTTTTTTCTCAAACAAGCAACTATTCACACCCAGGAATATAAAGACCCAAACAGCTTTACATCTGCAGAGGTCTGTTGTCAAAAGGGGTCCTAGCAACACACTCAGGAAAGAAATGATTTCTTTTAGCAATTTTTGCAGAACTATAATAATTCAGTAACACCTGCTCTGGATTCTATACTTGAAACATGGCAATTTTATCAAGTCAGAACTATATCCTTAGCATTTTAGAGCTGAGCTTGTCTTGAAATCCACAGCTGGAAAAAAATGGTCAAACTATCTGTGGACAAAGCTATAGGAGTGACAGAAGAAATCCACCCTCACCCCAGCACACTCTCTCCCTTCCCTGCTCAGGTACCGGCTCCCTCATGCTTAGTGCTCAAGTCCTAACACCATCCCCCCAAACCCAGCCAAGCTCTGGCTCACTGACCTCAAGACACCTGAAGTAAACCTTGTAGAAATGCACAGGTGAAACCATCATCAGGCCATAACCAGGCTCTACTAGCCAAAGTGGGCCCCAAGTAGCACCTCCTACCCCTCAAAAAACATTTGTTTCCCTTAGCCCGAGTGTAACATGAAACATTTCTGTGGGGGTGAGATGAGTCTGTACATCGATTTCAAAGGCCATGTCCTGGGGCTATTGACGGGGTGCCAACCATGTAGTGGGGTGCACAAATCAGGGTGGCTGCCAACCCATGGAAGAAGACCAAAGTTCCCCAGCCTGCCAAGTCTGCTCATAGATCAAGAAGCTCGCCCCCACAGGGCTTCCTGGAATGAGGACTGATCTGCGTACTTCTCTCACTCTCTATACCACTCCTGCTAAGCTTATCCTAGAAGCAAACAGGCCACAGCCCCGAAGGTCTGGAGGAACGCCTCACCTCTGTGCGTCATTTGTGTTCTCTGCAGCATCTAGTTCCAGCTGAACCCTTCTCAGGTCACTTCTCAACAGACTGTTTTCTTCAGAAAGCCTGTCAAACTGGATTCTGTGTGCAAAATTGAAAAACCCTGGTAAGAAGTGGAGAAGCCAAATGCCACCTCTGCAGATGGAAGCACCGAAAACTGTGCAATCTCCACTCCCCTCCCTGGGAGGCACCCACACTGCCTTCTCCCCTCTACAGTGGTGACATGCTCTGGCCTGTATCTGCCAAAGGCCATGCCATAAGAAACACAATTCTTAGCCTCTAAACTGCACTCCTGCCATAGCTCATGACTGCATTCAGCACCTTGGTCTTCTACGCTTGTTTTCACAGCTGACTGGTCCCTAACGTCCCATAGCCTCTGCCAGAACATGTGAAGTACCAGCTACTGAGGTCAAGTGCTGGGCGTGAGCCCTCAAGGCTGACAAAGGACATTCGTCCCTGCCAGTGAACTGCAGTGCAGAGCATGCAGGAAGACCAAAGCACACGTATTTTACTCTCAAAAACTGAAGCGAAAGGAACTCCTCCAAACTCACTCACTGAGGCCAGCAGCACCCTAATACCAAGACTAAACACCCCACAAGAACACCACCAACTCAGATCCTTATGAGCACTGACTCCGAGCTCCTCAACAGGCTACAAACCTTATTGTTTAATGGATACAGTTTCTGTTTGAGATGATGAAAAAGATTTGAAAGTGGATAGAGGTGACAGTTGTAAGACATTATGAATATTTACTGCCAATGAATTACAAACTTAAGATGGTTAAATAATCAATTTTAAGTTAGACATTTTATCATGACAAAAAAAAAAAGCCAATGCCCACTGATACCCCCCTCCCAAAGTAAAAGACTGATAAACTTTTAGCTTAAAGGACATTAGAGATATGATAACTAAGTGCATATTATAATTCTTGATTGGATCTGGGACAGTAGGAAACAACTCATAAAGAACACACTGGAACAAGTGTAGAAATCGGAATGTGGAGATATTAAAAAATAATATTGCATTAATGTTAAAATTTTCCTCTATCCAAAGGATATCATGGACATGTAAGAGATTGACTCTGCTCTTACAAAATAATATACTTATCTGAAATGAATCAGGACAAAAAAAAAAGGAGTGTGAGTGTAGACAGAGCAGGGTCACCATGGATGCACTCAGGCCCTTGCTGTTCTCTAAACTGTGGGTTCAGATTCTCTCAAAACTGAATCTGACCGGGATCCTCTCTGGACTTTGCTTTCTCTTACAATAAAGGCCAAAAACCTAACTGTAGCTTCAAGATCCATGTCTGACCCTTGCCTAACCCGGGGCCCTGTGGCTATAGTGGACTTGGGGACTGGTCCTGTATGTTTATCAGCAAGACCTACATGCTAGCAACTGTGGCCAAGGGGACCCTGGCTGATGCTGGGGACAGACCTGCCCTATCAGAGCAGGAGCCAGGGCTGGGGCTAATGGGGTGAGGGGGCAAGGGAGGACCTCTGAGCTGCTGAACCTTTTGACTCCTTCTGGTCACCTGTCATGTGTGAACTGGCCCCTCAGTGGCACTGAGCACAGGTGATCCTCCCTTCTGGTGTGGAGAGGCCTTTCCTGAAGACACCAGCTCCTTATTTCCCTCCCTCTCAAGGCTCCTCCCAGTCTCTCTACTGACCTAGTTCTCTGTAGGAAGCAGTGTCACAGGCTCCTCAAGCACAATGGACTTCTGTCCTCCTCTTCTCCTGTGAAGGCAGGTGGCACTCCTGAGTGTCCACTCCTTTTTGCCCAGATCTGCCTACCATAATCTCTGTTGATTTGGCCTCCAAACTCCTGCATATTAACTTTCTGCACTTCTTAACTGCTGCTCTGGCCTGAATCATTATCGCTTTTTTTAAAACTGAGATTTGAACTCAGTACCTTGTACTTGCCAGGCAGGCACTCTATCACTTGAGATACACTCCCAACCTGACCACTGTCACTCCTTATCTGACAGTCACAACAGCCCTCTCCCACCCCCACCTTCCTAACACTCATGGGCTAGCTCCTGCAGCTGCCTGGCCCAGGCCCCAACACTTTGCTCTCAGAAAACCCTCCACATTCCCATGAGAGCATGCTCCTGTTCAACCCACACTCTCACAGCCCTCACTGCGCTGTCTCCCCATTTGCCAAGTCCCTCTGACCCGGACCTGGCTGTTTCCCCATGCCTGGTGCAGGGAGGGTAGCCTCATGGTATCCCCTGAAGGTGGCAGCTGCTGCAGCATCTCCAGTCTCTGTGGGTACCGAGCCCTTCATTCAGCCTCCTAGGCAGTGCCTAGGACAGCCCAGAACACGGAAGCACAGAGGCCCTTTCTGCAGACAGCCTCTTTGGTTGCTGTCCCTCTACCAACACAGGGACCTACTGAGTCACTGCAGTCTCCAGGGCCAAGAACAGGGCCTGAGACACTCAGGTGTGGCTGCAGCCCTCAGGTCCCAGCCTCTCTCAAAGTCAGCAGGAACAGGACTCACAGATGACCCACAACTAATGTGAGGCCTCCAAACAGTTCTTGTCCTTGTGAGACCTGAGGCAGGGAGACCAAAGCCAGCTGAGCTGCCCCAGAAAAGCCCTCTCTCTGACCACTCACTGAGCACTCAGTGAGAAGGGTGCCCAAGGACAAGACTAAGCACATGATGCCTACAAAGGCGCAGTGCTTACAAAGCTAGCCTGATGGTCTTAAACCTTGCCAGTGGGGAAGGACCGTGTAGCAGCATAGAGTGACAGGCCAGTGGGTTTAGTAGGACAGTCTAAGAATGGGAGAGACCACACCTGTTGTTCTCTCTTGAATATGCTTCTTTCTCAAGAACCTGGACAACATCTTCCAGCTGCAGAAGTTTGGTTTCCATATCGTTCTTCTCTCTCTCCAACATCATTTCAGCTTCTGTCTTCTCCAGGGTGGCAAGGCGCTCTGGCACAGCCTCCTGTGGGTCTGAAAGCTCAGAGCAGGGCAGGAAGGGCCCCATCCTGGCAGCTTCTCCACCAAGCTGGATCCCAGTCTCCAGGGCACCTTCAGCGCTCCTGGCTGGCTCTTTTAAGTCTTGTTCCTGACCTCCCCCGGGGGCCAGCTCCCTGCTTAGGCTTTGGTCTCGCTCTTCCAAAGCGGCTGGACTCAGCTGCAGATGAGCCAGGGAGGCATCTCCTTCTGTTCCCAACAAGGGCAGTTCCTGGACGTCAGGCAGGCTTAGGCTTGTTGGGGCCCCGGAAGAAGATGCTGTATCCTCTGAGATGGCTCCCTCATTTGCCCCATGTGGCTGCATATGTGACCTCCTGTCTAAAGGGACAGAAGCTACCTCCTCAGCATTGAGTGGACCCTCATGGTTCTCTAGGAGGATGGGGCTCTCTGTGGACACCAGGGCCAGGGCTGGATTCTGCATGGCATCTACACTGCAAGGCACATTCCCCATCTCTTCACCAGCCCCTGTGGCCAGCTGGACTGGTGGCTGCTCCCCACTATCTGGACATAGGAACTTGAGGCTATGTGCCCCCTCCAACTGGCTGTCTACCCCAGTGGTTCCATCTTTCAAGAGGGCGCGCAGTGCCTCCGCCTCCTTGGCAAGTCCCACCACCTGCTCCCTGTAGGAGTGCTCCAACTTCTCTTTCTCCAGGGCGAATGACCTGCAAATCTGCGCCTGCTCCTCACTCATCACCACCTGCAGCTTCAGCTGCTGCCTCTGACAGCGCGCCAGAATCTCCTTTTCCCTCTCTTCCCGCTGCCCCTTCTCCAGGTGCAGCTGCACCGCCAGTTCTCTTGCCTGCCGCAGGTGTGTCTGCAGCAGCTGGTCCTTCTCACACTGGTGCCGCAGGGATAGGCTCTCGCAGTGGGCGGCATGCTGAGCTTCCAGCCAAGATAGCTTATGGCTTAGCTCATCTTCTGCCTCTCTCCTGCAGAAACACGAGTCACACACCTCAGGCTCTGCCAGCTCAAGCCCCAGGCCCTTCCTCTCAGGGAAGAAAAGGCCACAGGGCTCCTGTTCTAGCCATCTAACTCCTCTCTCAGCTGGCTTTCTGTGTCCTAGGCCCAGGGCTTCCAATCTCTCAAAGAATCCCCCATGGGATCTGCAGGGGATCTGATCCCCAGGGGTTAGGTTCCACACACAGAAGACAGCATGGACACCAGCTGTCATGTCTGATGGTCTAAATGTAAAGGGATTACGATTATGCAGAATCAGTCCCTCAGTCACACTGGCCACACTGCAAGCGCTTAATAGTCAAAGTGTGGCTGGCAGCTACCAAACCGGACAGAGCAGACGTGGTCAAACCCATCATCACAGTGAGCACTGCTCACACACAAGCAAAACTGCCCTTGAAAATCCCATACACTGCTGGGCTGAGGACTTTGGCAGCCCCAGGAGAATGGCATGGAAGTGAGGTGAGGACTGGACAGGAGCACCAAGTTGGCAGAGTATGCTGTGCACTCTGACTAGGGCAGGGGACAAGTGAAACGGGCTGGATGTGGCTCCCCCTCCGAGTGGAGGAGCTACTGGTGGCCTAGTGAGCAGATTCCCAGGAATGAGGGCCAGAGGCCTCCAGGACCTGGGGTGCTCGAGCATGTGGGCAGGCACATCCTGGATTTTAAGAAGTGGGGCTCCCCCATACCTAACCTTCTGCCACCTCCTGGGGGTCTGCCGGAGGCTAAATCCAGTATCACATGGCCTCAGGTTTAAGAGGAAAGAGCTTAAAGCTCAGGGAAAGCACATGACTAAAAATAAGTCCTCTGGCTTCCAGGGCAGGGCAGCTGGGCTTGGCATGGCTGATGCCATTGCGGAGGAGAGGGTGGAAGGAGCGCTGACTCTTCCTCATCCTATCTCAGGCACTCTGGCCACCCCCAACTCCCTCCTACCAAGGACAGCGCCCTCCTGGGCTAGGTCAAGGGCAGTACCTCCACATGAAGGTCGCTTGACCTGCTGCTATCACTGTGGTGAAGGGCAGCTGACATCTGCACCTAACCACCCCAGCACAGCACCCACATGAGCCATCTGTTCAGTCCGGGTCAGTGGGAGCCAGTGAGTGGGGGGTGCCATCTTCTTTCGGGGGGCACTTCCTCTACAGACTGTGTCCCAGTAACCAACAGTAACCAGGCACTGACTGAACCAAGTGAGGCTCGTGGGACAGAGTGGGCAGGTGATATTCCTTACATAACTCTAACACGATAAAACACAAAACACCATAACCCAGGGGTTCCAAAAAACCCTTTTTCTCCGTGGTACAAATGTTTCAGCCTTCTCAAGAATTCCATTAATCCAAATTAACTGACTTCCCCACTTGCAGGGGGGCAGTTTGGATTTTCTCCATCTCCCCATAAGATGTCCTGGAAAACTAGAATGCAATAGTAAATAACGCAGAATATGTTGGCCTGGCCTATCAGACAAGCCCAAGGCAGAAGGGAAAGAAAACTGAGTTAAAACTATACAGTAAATAACTGCACATGGTACCCCCTGCCTATAATCTTAGCTACAAAAAAAAACAAAGATGGGAGGACTATGGTTTGAAACCAGCCTGGGCAACAACAAAAAGAAAAAAAAAAAGAGGCTTGTGAGACCCTATTTCAAAAAATAGAACTAGTTGTGGTGGCTCATGCCTACAGTTCCAGCTGTTGGGAGGATTGTGGCCTGGAGCTGGCCCCTGGCAAAAGTGAGACACTATCTGAAAAATAATTAAAGCAAAAAGGGTTGGGGGTGTGTCTCAAGTGGTAGAGCACTTGCTTAGCAAGCAAAAGGCCTTGAATTCAAACTCCAGCATCACACAAAAAAAACAAAACAAAACAAAATAAAAACATAAACGCAACAAAGGGCTCCACTGTCCAAGCTCTATTTAACATATATTTTTGCCAGGCGTGATAGCTCAGCTCTATAATCCTAGCGTCTTGGGAGGCAAAGATCAGGAGGATCATGGTTTGTGGCCAGCTAGGCAAAAAGTTAGCAAGACCCCATCTCATCCATTGGCTGGGTGCAGTGGTGCACGTCTGTCATCCCATCAATGTGGAAAGACACTTAGGAGGGTCATGGTCCAGGCCAGTCTTAACATAAATTGAAACCCTATCTCAAAAATAACCCACACAACCTGGTACCAGTAGCTCATGTCTATAATCCCAGCTGCTAGGGAGGCAGAGATCAGGAGGATCATGGTTAGAAGCCAACCCAGGCAAATAGGTGGTGAGCCCTATCTTGAAAATATCCAACACAAAAAAGGACTGGTGGAGTGGCTCAAGTGGAAGAGTGCCTGCCTAGCAAGTGCAACACCCTGAGTTCAACCCCCCAGTACTGCCAAATATATTATATATACATATATTTATATATATATACACACATATATAGTTTTTAAAGTAAAAATTCATAGACAACAACCTGTTCTTTCAGCCCTCAGCTATCTCCCCAGAGAAAACCTAACCTATTCACAAGCACTACAATCCTGAGTAGTTTACCTAAACCTAATGTCAAGTTTTGGTTCTTATTGAAATGTCCTGGGTGTGAACAGATGGCCAGTGGCTGACCTTATCTGCTGCAGCTGGCTCTGGTGTTGCAAGTGCATTTCCTCCTGCAGTCGCCGAGCCAGGCCGCACAGCGCTTTTGCGCAACAGTGTGCCAGCCCGGCCTGAGCAGGCTCTGGGCTGTGCACCAAGTCCCGCAGCTGCTCCTGCAGGCCCAGGATGACCTCCTGTGACTTGGCGTACAGGGCCTCCAGGTCTGCTTTCTGGTCTTCCAGAATGCCGACTGCACGCTGGTGTGCCTGCTCCATCTCCTTTTTATCCTTCTCGAAGTTCCTCTTCATGACCTTGATTTCCCTCTCATAGTAATTTACCTAGACAGAAACACCAGAAGTGCTAATCACAAGGTCCTAACAATGACCTAGCCGACAAGACAACACAGAAATATGAGGCTATCAGGCAGGACACCCAAAGAATTGATGACCACACACCTGACCAGGCCCCACGGGCTAAAAAGGGATGGCAAGGCAAATGACAAGTGATGCTACCAGGGGGCCCAGAGTGGCTGTGTGCATCACATCATCCCCATGACTTTCACAGTGACTCTGAGGAACGTCCAGCAGGATGGGTCAGGAGGCTTGGGGTCAAGCTGGGTATCTGGCTAGGTGGCACAAGGAAGGCAAAAGGTGTGACAACTACTAAGAGAAATAAGGACCCTTCAAAAACTCAGCAGGTGGTCTTCAACATCCTGGAAGCTGTGACAAGAGGACTACTATCTAGATACATGGAGCTTGCCATCCCAGAGCTTCCAGTGTGAGTTCTAGTATGGCTTCCTGGACGTGAAGCCAGAGTCCCCAGAGAAGGCAAATGCCAGGTTTCTCACAAGAACAAGACCAGTCACTTTGACTGCAGACAGTGGATGAGTAGGGAGGTCTGCCCGTCACATGGCTGCCTCAGCACCTCATGCAACACACAGGACTCAACCCAGACCTTCCCCAGGGTTCCTCATTCCTATGTCCTGCTTCCCTCCAAAGACGGTCAATTTTATTTATGTTTCTTTTGTTGTTTTTGAGACAGGGTCTTGCTATGTAGTCCAGGCTGACCTTGAACTCACAATCCTTCTGCCTCAGCCTCCAGAGTGCTAGGACTATAGGCATGCACCACCACACCTGGCTCTTATTTTTTCTTTACAAAATATCCTCCCCAAGTGGGTTGATTATAAGGCAGAGGGTTCTGAGGCAGACATTTGGCAATGTTGGCTCAGCAGAGCAACAGTGCCTGGTGTGCAGCCTGTGGCCCCACTCTCTTACCTTGGTCTCCAGCTGGATTCTGAGGTCTTGGTAATATTCCTTCACTTGCTCCATCATTATTTCAGTCTCTAAACTCATTGGAGTGGAGTCGCCCACAAACAAAATGCCTGCAAACAAGGACATTTGGCCGCTATCATACTCAGGATACCCGGGTCCCTTCTGAACCCTCCAATCTGACATCCGGATGGTATTAATATTTTCATCACCTGAAGAAAAGACAGCCTTTCTACCCGCACTGTGTGTGTGAGGAATTTAGTGCTGGAAGAAGGGTCATGCTACACTCTGAAAGTTACCATTTCTTAGAAATCAGCAGCTCAAGTCTCTATCTGAGCACAGATTACTTAGCGAAATGGGAGACTCCCTGAAAGATTCATCAGGGTCCTTTAATTCTCTCAAAGTGACGGCACATTCACTGCACTTTAAATTTGGCTCCCTGACAATGTCAGGTGCAGAATGACTACAGCTCAACCGCCTCCAGGTGGTGCGGTACTTCACATCAAGGTCTCCACACACATTGTAAACAGTCCCTGTAGTTTGTATCTTCTCGGTGGCCCTACATTATGCATTATTACACAAAACAAAAGATGCAGCTCCCACAGGTAAGTCCAGCACACTAAATCTTGAAGGTATAAAAGCTCTGATTGTTGACAGGAGTGCAGCTCAACACTAGGGGAACCTCATGGTCTTTCCCCAGGGTCCTAACAGGGACCACATACTCTGTGCAGCTCAGGCTCCCTGAGGGATCAGAATTGCTGACAATCCCTGCTCTGTGACTGGGCTACTCCTGGCTAGCATGTCATACTCAGGTGAGGATGTGTGAATGACTCCATGTGCTGGCTGTGTACCAACAACTTCTGTATTCCCTGGCATATGGTACACCAAGAACAACCTCTTGTTCCTTTGGCCACTGGGGCTGCTGAGGGTCTGGGAGCCTTCTCACTCCAGTGAAGGGGGCCTTCAGGTGAGGGGGATGCCTCACGGGTCCCATATGCACAGAAATCCCCACTAAGTTCTCTTTGGAAGTCCCCATGTTAGCTCTTTTAGGTATATATTTTTTTCTATTTTATTAGGTAAATAGCTTTAAGGTAACGTGGGAAGCCCACATGCTCTCAGTCACAAATGGAAGCACAGTGTTCTCTATGGGCTGGGGTTGCCATGACATGTGGACTGAGGGAACTGTCGAGACTGCTGGGTCCCCATGGGCCCCACTAGCAGCAGAGTGTCACATGCTGCTGCTGGAATATGCAGAACCTGAGCCATGCCCCAGCCACTGCCCAGCACCACAGCAGGAGTGCAGAGACCAGCAAGCCTTCCTACCCCCATTCTCCAAAAGGACCACTGCAAACCTCAAGAACCTCATATCTTGGTCTCCAGAAGAAGCCAAGAACATAGGCCCTAGTGGTTCTTAGAGCTGGAGCTTATGCCAGTTCCTCTGCCGGACAGTGTTCGAGTCTCAAGTATGGTCTCTCTCTGAAGTCAGGCAGTTGAGGGCCTCCACTCAGTGGAGACCATCCTGTGCCTACTTGTAGCCACTGTCTCTAAGTGACCTTCCACGTGTTTAGCCCTGCTGCAGGGTTGCCAGAAATATTCCCACAAGTAGGCTTATCTCCCATGAGGTCAGGGCAACATCATCATAACCTTTGTCATTTCTACCTAAATGGCAAAACCCTCCACCCTCCTCTACCCATCTCTGGTGTCTGGCAGCTGTGTCAATATCCAGCCCTGAAGCCAACTTCATGGAACCCCACCTCAGCACCAGGACCAGACTCCTACCTGCTGGTCCACGTCCAGGGAGCCGCCGTCCACGTTTGCCTGGGTCCCCTGTGAGGTTCTCCTGACTCCCAGGCAGCTGCGTCTGCAGACCTTCCAGCTCAGCTTGAAGCTCATCATTGCGGTCCTGCAGGTCCTACACAGGCAGAGCCAGACATATCCTCCAACCACTGCAGCCACTCAGCCTAGTGAGGATAAACCCAGGACCAGCCCCATCTCCAGGGAGTATCCACTATGGGCTAAGCACACCGTGAGGCCGACAGGTGTGGCTTCTGGACTCCTAGCATGTAACACTTAACCTGGATTTTAAGACTAACTGTGTGTGTGTGTTGGGGTGTTTAAACAGAAATGGGAGTCACTTCTTGACTTTCACATGCCTATATAACTTGATAGAAAGTGATCTCTGTATACACAGGAGGGCCTCAAAAGAAAAAGTAGAGTTGATACTGAGACAAAATGCAGAAAGTATATACAATCATCAACATCTGCCAATACAGGTGCTGTGAAAACCACAGTGGTGCCAGTGAGCTGTGACTTCCCAGGTACGTGCTGGGCCATACGCTGTGTGCTGTAACTCTTTCCTCAGTTGCTAAAGAACTGCAAAGGGTTCTGAACTGCAGCTTTTAACACCAAAGAGGGGGCCACTTGCTTTAGATCAAATGTCATAAAACAGAAATGCACATGTCAGAAAGGGTGATGGTTGACAAGCAGACACCTGAGGGGGTGAAGGCTATAAAGTCAACAAGAATTTGGGATGGGGGAGAGAAACACCTTTCAGGGAGTGGTAAAAGCTTCAAAGGAAAGGTTTGCATAGCATCATTTTGTTCATACTTTACTGATATATGTTTGGACAAGCTGGCCCAGGCACTTGCTTGTTAAAGAGATAGAAAAGGGAGTTTCTACTCCATTTTCTCAGACAGTTCAGAGTCCTGCAGATTCTGTAGAAGCATGGTAACAAGGTCACTACTGATTATGGGTCTGTGTTACAACCCTGGGACACAGGCAAGGCTGTGACTACTCCAACAGTGACAGAAGTGAGGCCACATGCCTTTGAAGGACAAGCTTCCAACCTGCTTCTCCCAAGACATTCCCTCCTGGGGAAGACAGCCACAATGCTAATGAGGAAGCCAGAACTAAACCATGTAGGGGGAAGAGGATAGGATGCCCATTCAGCACATGCACAAAGCAGCAGCTCCCTCTCTGGTTTTTGAGTTTCTTTGTGATCCTTACAGCCTCTTTGGATAGTTTTTGAACAAACCTGATCTTCCTAGAAGCAGCCCTGGAGGCCAGAGCTCCTGTGGAGAAAGTGCCTCTCCTCAGTACTTCCTGGCTGTGGGGAGAAGGATAGGCTGGGCAGACCACGAAGAAGCTGACTCACTCAGAATCCTCCTGAGAATAAGCAAGCTCCTCCCAAGGAAGGAGCAGCTCTGCCCTTAGGACAGAGCAGGCCAGGAGGTCACAGATGCTGAGCCCACCCTTGGAACAAGTTGCTAACTAGCCCTGCCCATCACAGCACTGCAGTCTTGTTCATTTGGCCCCCGAGCTGTCCAATACAGGGCCATTCACCATGTGGGCTACTGAGCTCACAAAGTATAAATATACACCTGATTTGAAGAACTCCAAAAAAAAGGGATACAAGATATCATTTGTTTACATTGATTATGTGTTAAAATAACATTTTGATACATACTGAATTTAAAAAAATTAAAATTAGCATTACCTATCTCTTCTAACATTTTTTAATGTGCTTACTAGACAGTTTAAAGTTAGGAGGCAAATCTACAGAATTTTTCTACCCATTACCCTATCTACTTTGAGCCCCAAATGGGCATCCCACAAATTCAGCAGTGCCAGAAAACAGGGGTTTTTTAGATGATATAATGGATGCAGACCAGACTAATTAGGACTGGCGAAGGTGGTATGTATGCCTGTGGGGGTGCTGGCAGGGATAAGAGACCAGGGCTCTTATTGCCAAGCACAGTGGACATTTATTTGGGGTGGCTTAAGGAAACTGAAGCAACTGTGTGGCACTATTGCCCCAGTCAGGAAGAGACTTTTTGTGACAAGGGCAACAATCATGTACTATAGCCCTGAGGATCTGTAGACTCTGGACCCTTGGGACTTTCTTATCTGGTTAGTTGGGGGGGAAGCAAGCTCACAAAGGAAATGAGGGGTGAAAATGTGGTTCAACAGCAACACGAAGAAGCAACTCTTAGAGGTGTGGAGAGGAAGGCAAGGCCTGCAGGCTGCCTGTGGGGATGAGTTGGGCTGACGCAGCACACACACAGAAGCTAAGGAATTGTCCAGAAGGCAGGAAGAGTTAGGAGCTGGTGTGCAAACTATCAGAGAAAATCAAATCTGGGGGACATGTTTCTGATGGAGGACATGCTACTCCAAAACAGCAGTGAAAACATGAGCCACAGAGAATCTCTCAGGAAGGTCTAATTGACATTCCAGAATTCCCTTTAACTCAAAAAGCCTGGCCAAGAAAACAGACTGACAGCTGAAAGAAACAAGCAAAGATAAAATGACAGTTACATGGGAAGGGAATTCAGCATCAAGGAAAAGCACAACATCTTTGCTAACAAACACCCTTATTGAAAGCACAAGGAAATCCTAAGGTGTAACTTTAACAGAAGACGTGCAGTGGGGCACTGCATACTTATTCTATATCATTATATTGTACCCCACAAATATGTTCAATTGTTAGGTGTTAATTTTTCTTAAAGAAGACATCAGAAATGATATCAAAATGATAATGTTTCTATGAAAAAGTAGGAGATGGGGGCCGGGGGACTGTACTTTTTCAAAATATCTTAAAAGACAAAGGCCATGGGAATGTTCCAGAGTAAAGAATTTCATCTGGGTATGATGGCTCATGCCTGTAATCCCAACTGATCAGGAGGCAGACTGGGAACACTAAAGCTCAAAACAGCAAAAAAAGTTTGCAAGACTCCCATCTCAATAAATAAGCTGGCTGGATGCCTGTAATTCTCGCTACTTAGGAGGCTGAGATCAGGAGGATTGGGGTCAGAGGCTAGCATGGACAAATAGTTTGCAAGACCCCACCTCCAAAATAACCAAAGCAAAATGGACTAGAGATGTGGCTCAAGTTGTAGAGTGCCTGCTTTGCAAATGTGAAGCCCTGAGTTCAAACTCTGGTCCTACCCAAAAAAAAAAAAAAAGCCAAGTATGTTGGCACATTGCCTGTCAGCTCAGCGATAAGGGAGGTTACAGGCTATGATTGTGGTCTGAGGCTGGTCCTCAGCAAAAACACAAGACCCTACTTGAAAAGTAACTAAAACAAAAAAGGGCTGGGGATGGGCTCAAGGGGTAGAGCTCCTACCTAATAAGCGTGAAGCCCCTAAGCTTAAAACCTGGTATCACCAAAAAAATAAATCAATAAAACGAAACCAGTAAATAATGCTATAAAGAAAGAACAGCTATATAGGCAGTCCCAAATTCTAGACTGGTTCTTGTCCTGGAGGGAAAATGCTCACAGGTCACTGTTACATTAACTAAGTAAACAGACGGCATGGACGGCAGGTTGAAGGACTATATTGGGGACAATCCACAAAGCTGATGAGCTTGCCAGTGACATAAGAGAACATTCATACTGAGCAGCGTGTTGGGAGGCTGGCCTCCAGGAAACGTAGCTTTTGCAAAACTCTATGATGTAAATTCTTCCACCACAGCCAATTTAAAGCTGCCAAGGTTTTAACAAGCAGCTAACAAAACTCCTGAACATTTAATAAGTGACTCCACTGGGGGGGTGAGGAGGAGGGGCTACTCTTAGGAAACATCTCAGGATTTAGGGGGAAGGGTCTGGGTGCACGTAGCTCATGCTCAAGTGGATCAGAAGTAATTCTGCATATACGTCCAACGTCCACACAACCACACACACACAGCCCAAATATGCAAACAAGGAAATAAGTGGGATGGATTGATAGTAAGTAAACCTAGTCACAAGTGTTCCTCACACTATTTTAATGTTATGAAGTTTGGAATTATTTTCAAGTAAAGGTTTTTAAATGCTCTAAAGGTTATTTGGAAATAGCCAAAAATATCCCTAAAACATGGAAAGAGAAAATTTCTAAATTAGTAGGTTAGCACTAAAATGTAAAATATTTACATATGGCATCTCAAAAACTAAAATTTCAAGAATCAAAGGTGAAATGAGTAGTGAAGTCATGGTAAAGAAGAAAGGCACTTAGGCTGGGCATAGTAGCACACTTCTACCCTCGCAGCTATTTGAGAGTTGGAGGCAAGAGGATGTCGAGTTGGACACCAGCCTGGGCAAAAGTTAGTGAGACTCTCTCTCAAAAACAAAATACAAACAAAAGGGCTTCGGAGTGTGGCTCAAGTGATAGAGCACTTGCCTAGCAAGCACAAGGTCCTGGGTCAGTAGAGGGAGGGGGCCTGGGGGAGGGGTACTGCATGTGGCAGGCGTTTACATTTATTTGCATTTGCTTGAAAAATCCAGGCACTAAAACTTACAAATCAATTGGTGGTTAGTTCTAGGTTTTGAGTCTACTCAACACGTTCTACGGATTGAGAAAATCAGCATGTGACTATGATCCTGGAAGAAAGCTGTCAAGCAGGGTCCACCTGCGTGACAGTCCACTGCCCCAGAGGGAAGGTGACGTGCCTGGCCACACAGAGGGATTTCAAAAGACAGAATCAGGATAGTGACAAAAAGGTGACAGGGCAACCAGGACTTGGGTGTGGAATCCAGAGGGCAAAGCACAGACCAGAAGCAGTAGACACACAGCCTACTAAGAACAACAGATTAGGCTCACCTTTATCCTCTGGGGTTGCCAGAGCAACATGCAGTGGGAACAAAGTAAGTGCTTTCTTAAACTGGAGGAACATGAGTAAGAAACCTACCAATAACAGATCCTTAGAAACACAGGGCACCCCATGAATGAATTACCAGCTTCCAGAATAGATGTTCTCTCTTCGATGTATTTTCAGATCATGTAAAATTACTTTTAACTGGTGCCCTTCACAATGGATGTAATAGTATTCCCCTCAAATAATTACAGATTTCCAGAGTGAGATGATTTGAAGCAACGCCCTATAGGTGAAATTACGCTGTTCAGCTTGGAAATGTTTGTCATAATTTTTATTATCATAGCAAATTTGCAGGAAAAATAAATCTGTGAACAGTATACTGTTCTCTGCTGACCTCTTTAGATTTATGTCAGTGGAGTTTATTATATAGAGGTCTTGTTGGGGGGCAGGGGTGCTAAGGATCAAACCCAAGCCTATACATGCTAAGTATGGGCTCTATTAATGGGTTATATCTCTAGCCCCCATACAGTTTTATTTTTAAATTTGTTTTATGTGTAGAGTTTTAAATGACTATAATCTGAGGATGCATATTTCTCTTCTTTGGCACTTGGCAATGTTGCCTATGTAGGATTTTGAGTCTAGAATCATCACTTCTTTGCTATTTTTCAAGTCTATGCAGGTTTTTATTAAAAATAGTCATGACAAGCTTCACCAGTCTCTGATACTGGGCATTTGGTTGTGTCCATTTTCTACTGTTCTAACTTGTTCCAACATAACCTTGTTAATGTCAGTTATATGAGAAGAGCAAGTGCATAGAACTTTTTTTTTTTTTTAAGATGGGGTCTTGCTATGTAGCCCAGGGTAGTCCATAACTCCTAGATAAAATGATCTGTCTGCCTCAGCCTCCCTGGTAGCTGGGACTAGAGGCTCAAACCACTGCACTCAGCTTCAAGGGTGGAAATGTTTGATGGTGCCTAACTTCAATCTTTTATATACCTGTCTTTGTTAAAAAATGTTTCTCATAAAATTTTGCATAAGTTAACATTCGGTAAATTAAATCCTAACCAAGAGCTGACTAAATAAGAAACTATAGGATGAATTACTTTATATATCAAAGAACTTTCCTGTATTGTTAATAATTAACTCAACTCAATTCTAATGTGCTTTTTTTCCCCCTATGCTGAAAGTTCTTCAGGAAGATTGATCCTGGAAGTAAAGCCAGGGAACTTCCCTGTTCCAGGATCTTGGCTAGTCACTGGGACACATGCAGCATGATTCAGCAATGTCCCTTTGGGATTGAGTACAACCTTGGTCAGAGCTCTGCCTAGAGCAGATGGTCTTGCTGTCCCTTGCTGGACCACTTTGCATGTGGAGACCAAGAGTGCAGGAGGGAAGAAAAAAGAGGCTCTCTCATCACCACATGGGCATGAATCAGGCAAACACTGCCAACCACTGTGCTGGCCCAATCTTGCAGGCACCCCTTTCCACTACTGTTGCAGAGTGGGCTGGGAGTGCAGTCGTGCATAAGGGTTCTGTGCACCAATGCCAGAAGCAAGGGCCCAGTCCCAGGTACTTCAGGACACAGAGCTGCTCCAGATGGCTAAATGGACTGGGTGGGGCACCTACGCGGCACTTGAGCTCGTATTCCTTCAGGACTGCTGTAAACTGCTCCTCCTGGGCCAGGAGCTCCGTGCTCTGTGGCTCCAGCTGAAAGTCAGAAAGATGGGCAAATCAGCATGATTTGAGTTCAAGTATCCTGGATCCCTAGCACCCAGATACACACACACACACGAGGACAGGCAACGATGGGCAGGGCTTTAGGCCAGCTCTGGCTCTGAGAAACTAACTGGCTCCTCCACATGCACTGTGCACCTCTGGGTACGACTGCTTGGGCCTTCCTCCTTCTCCATGTGTCTGGCAGCCCCTCTTCTCCACAAGGGATGTGTGGAGTCTCACAGTGGCACAGAGCTCCAGCCTCCCTCCTTATCCTTGCCCCTGGGAATGGGTTTGAGGTCTGGGCAGACAGCACTGGTCCTGGCCTACCACTTAAGAGCTAACTTGACCTGGGCATAGCTGGTATATGGCACCCCACATTAATCTAGATATTATTTTTCAAGATGCTAGCCCACAGGCTCTCCTCTGTGAAGAGTCAGAATCAACAAAAGGGCTTGCCTTGTCCTTCAGCACAAACTCCAGGTCATTTTGCAGTTTCAGGACCAGCTTCTCTGAATCCGAAAGCTTTTCCACCATTTCCATGATCTCTTTCTGTAACCGACTGTTTTCCTAGGAGACACAGGCAGTTGGCTAGGCTCAGAAAGAGAAGGAAGAAGCCATCGGCAGGTCTTGGTGTCACTGCTCTGTGAATTGAAGGCTTGTTTCCAGCCACATTCATAATCAGGGAAGACACCCTCAAAAGATCAAGTGGGTGCCTGGGTGCCCACCACTTCTGTCCAAGCAGCCACGGCTGTCTCTCCTCTCTTCTCCCACCCCCACACTCAGAAAAGTCATAAGTGACACAAGAAAGGGCTGGTGATGCATCATTTCCAAGCTGCTTTCTACATGAAGGGTTTGAAATAACACCGATATGGCTCAGGTCTGACAGGGGAGAAGAAGGTGGCTGGCAGACACTGGGGACTGGGCTGAGAAGGCTCAAGAGACAGTTCCATTAACAGCAAGGTTGGTGGGTGGCTTGGTTCATTTCTAGCTCCTCTTCCCAGAGAAGGCAGAGGCTGCTGGGAGGCATGACAGGTATGGAGGAGGCTTCAGGGCTCCAAGTTAGGAAAGGAGAAAAGGCTGGGAGCAGAGCAAAGACAAAGCACATGGGTGAACACCTCTGCATCTCGGCTGTCCACAAAGCCCAGACACCTCACTGCAGTCAAGTGCAGGGTGGATGCACAACATGGGACATTCACAAAGCCCACAAAAGCCATGTCTGCTCTAGGCCATAAGCCTGGTCTCTGGCAGGCTGTGTCTATACGTGCTCCTAGCCTCCAAGGCAGTCATGCTAGCTGTGGTGGGTGGCTCACCCTGATTTCAAGTCCACCTAATACAGAGCAAGAGCGAGAGCCACAGAAAGAGAAAGGGACAATGGGGTTCCTTGCAAGTCTTGCTTTTGCTGAGAATGTGGTATCACCCCACTCTGGCAACCATTTCTGTCTTCACAGGGCACCCCAGGGATATATCCTCACCTACCTTCAGGGACAAGGTCAGCTTCTCTCGGAGACTGGCCTCCTCAGCCCGCAGACGAACCACATCCTGCTCCAGCCCAGCCCTCTGCCTGTGGGCCTGCTCCCAGAATAGCTCCCGTTCCATCTCCACCTCAGACCGCAAGAGGCTCAGCCTTCCCCTGTACCCCTGCTCCAGTTGCCTGAAACACAGCATACACCCCATGTTGGGGCTCTTGGGGGTACACGTGCCTCCCCAGGGCCCCTTCCTTCTCGGAAGTGCCCCTGTCCTCAGACCTAAGCTGTTATCACACTGGACGCCCCCCGCCCCGCCCCCAGCCCAGCAATTGGGGTTGATTTTCAGCAAGTTAACTGCCTATGCTGAGCAGGGTAGGACTGGCAGTGGGTAGGTGCTGCTTCCTCATGAGCTGCAGAAGTGACTCCCAGACAAGAGCATGTGTCACGTGATAAATGCCAACAGCTGCCTTCAGAACCCTGGGGTGAGCAAGTGAGTGGAGCTCTCTGGGGTAGGTCCCACTGTGCTCTGCCTTTCTACCTACTATACCTGCATTGAACACCACACCATACTACACCACACCACTCCCAGGACCACACTGCCTCACCTATCACAACCCACAGTGCCTGCACTACACCATACTGAACAACGCACCACATTCCACAGTGCGTCACACAGCACGTGACAGTGCACGGCATGCTGCTCCACACTGCATAGCCCTACAGCAGCCCTGTGAGAAAGGCTATGAGAAGAGGGTCATGCGGGGGGTCAGACTCTGTCCCCTGAATTTCCAGCTCCCCCCCCAGGGGCCCTGAAGAGCATTAAGGTCCCAGTACTAACAAGGAGCAGCTAAAAGCAATCCTGCACCCACTCATCTTGGATCCCAACACTCAAGAATAAAGTTGATGAGTCTGGTGACAAACCTTTATTAAAAGAGTTGTCAGGATAGTGGAGGGGACTTTGAGAGAGAGGAAATGTTCTAGCAAGCATGCAGTTGGCCTGCTCAGTAATCTGCAAAAGTTTTTTTTTTTAAGGTCTTGAGGATCGAACCCAAAGCCTTGTTCATGCTAGACAACTGCTCTGAGTTACACACTTAGACCTTTTTTTTTTGAGTCAAGGTCTCACTATACAGCCCAGCCTAGCCTTGAACTTGTAATCATCCTGCTTCAGCCTCACGAGTGCTGGGATTACAGGCTTGTAGCTTGTACCACACCTCCAGTCAATTTTCCTCAAGTGATTTTGAAGATGGGGTCACAAACTATTTGCCCATCTACTCTCTAACTGCAATTCTCCCGATGTCAGTCTCCCAAGTAGCTAGGATTACAGATGTGAGCCAACAGTGCCTAGCTTTCACTCCTCTTTTTAGTAACAGTTACACTCCATGGAAACCCAAACAGATCTCACAAGTGGTCTTGAAGAGGCAGGGAAGTAAGAGTATCTTAGGGAAGCAAAGATAAGCACCTTGTTAAGACAAGAATTAACCTCCACAGTGAGGATTTCCTAACAAGATGCTCAGGAATCTGCTGGACCAGAGTGTAGTAGAAAAGAATAAAGACTGGACTCTTCAGATGAATCAGCTGAATGCAGAGTCTGTCAATTGCCATTAAGAGTCATTTCTTAGCAAAATGCTCTTCTATGATAAAACCACTTGTTCTAAACCAAAGAAAGGAGGCTTAGGGAAGTGACCCTACCTAGCACACTGCAGGAAGGTCAAGTGCTCCAAATACATTACTTAGTGGAGACTCTGGCTTTTTGGCCTTACACCTCCTTACTATGAGGCCACATTTAGTCATCTTAGATTTCACTGGTAACACTTAAAGTCTGGTGAAAGGATGCTTAACTTTTAGCTTCCTTGAAAATTACTACTATCCTACAAGGCTTCAGCAGCTGGTAGAAGTGAGTGTGCAGCCATGCTCACTCACACATATTCTAACACATACACCTGTGTACTGACACTCACACATCCATACAATTCACACGTTCTCACACACACCCATGCACTCACATATCCACACATATTCACATCTGTTTTTGGCAGTACTGGTGTTTGAACTCAAGGCTTTGCTAGGCAGGTGCTCTATCACTTGAGCCATGCCCCTAGCTTGTTTTTTGCTTTAGTTATTTTGAATAGGATTTCATGTTTTTGCCCAGGACCAGCCTCAGATAGCAATCCTACTATAGCTTCCAGCATAGCTGGAATCAGAAGTTGTATGTTACCACACTGGCTTATTGGTTAAGATGGAACTCTTACTAACTTTTTGCCCAGGCTAGCCTCAAACCACGATCTTCCCAATCTCTACTTCCTGAGTGAGCCACTGTGCTGAGCTATACACATATTCTCGCACACCAGTGCACTTACACATTCACTCTCACACAATCACAATTCCAGTCAAACTCACACTCTAACCCCCCCCATAATGCCACCTCTTGCACCCTTCTCCCCAGACACCCAGAGACTCAGGTGGGTCTCAGCCTGCTTTGTCCTGTCTTCTCCAGCCACCCTGAAGGGAAGAGGATCTGGGAGGTGCATGTATGTAGATGCAGATGCCTAGAACCTGCATATGTGAATCATCACATGCCAGGGGAGAAGAAAGCAGAGAGGGGAGGGGAGGGGAGAAGAGGAGGGAACAGAGGAGAATGGAGGGGAGGGGAAGAGAGGAGAGGAGAGGGCAGGAGAGGAAAGAAGGGGAGGAAGGGGTAGGGAAGGAGGAGGAGGAGGGAGGAGAGACAGAGAAGATATGGGTTTCAATTTCATATGCCCATATGTGATTGTGGGCAAGTGACTAAAGTATTCTGTCAGTTTCTTTGGGATTAAATGGAATAAAAATGGCCTACTGGTAGCTGGGCATGGTGGCTCAAGTCTGTAATTCTAGATACTTGGGAGCAAGCACAGATTGTGAGGATTGTGGTTGGAGGCCAGCCCAGGCAAAAAGTTAACAAGATCTCATCTCAACCAATGGCCTAACATGGTGGCATGTGCCTGTCACCCTCAACTATGCAGAGTGCAAATACGAGGACTGCAGTGCAGGGTAGCCTGGGCATAAATCAAAACCCTATCTCAAAAATAACCAAAGCAAAAAGGGCTGGTGGAATAGCTCAAGTGGCATGACACCTGCCTAGCAAGTGTGAGGCCAAGTTTAACTGCCAGTACCACCAGTGAGGCAGCATCTGGACAGACAGAAGCCTCCCACAGCAGCCTCAGAGGCTGGGAAGCCTGAGACCTCATCATCTCCTCAACCATTGGGTCTCAGGCTACCCTGTAACAGTACCAGAGCATCTTTGGCAAAGGAGGAATGGGTTTTGGTCCAAACTCCAGATTTATCTGAACACCATCAAACAGTGTCATGTGGCTGCAGCAGGGGCTGGTTGCTGAGCTATGACCACCCTTCTGACCCCACAGCATCCCAGGCCAGCTGTCCACAGCCCTGGAGGTGATGTCTAGAATTCCTCTGGCTCTTCCCCGCTCAATCTCCTCCCTGTGAGTCACAAGGATGCTGACAGTCTTCTTCCCAGGCAGACACATGCTCCAAGACTATTCACTGACAAATGAAGAAAGGTAAAACTTCCTATAAAACCTCTTAACCTGCTTATGGGGGAATGTCAGAGGCTTTCTATGTATCCTGTACTCAAGAGTTATGGGCACACAGTCTTGACGTCCCATGCTTTCAGGACTGCTGTGGAAAAAGCGTTACCTCAAATGCCACATCACACATAACAGGGGAGGCACAGGTCACAGGCTCTTCAGAGTGGGTACAGCACTCAGACCATCTCCCTGCCTCAAAAAGCAGCACCCTGCTTTTTAGACCTAGCCCTTCCTCTTTGAAAGGACAGCCCCAGAGGCTATGTCTTCCTGATTTCCACAGGCTATGGTGAAATAGGTTTCCAGCTCTGCTCTGGCTTACAGTTGTGGCCTCAGCCTCCCAGCCCTGGTCCCTGGCAATGCTGGGTCGACCCCCACTCTCAGCTAGAGCTCAGGGCAAGCCCCTATAAGGCATCACTGCCATAGCTGCCCAGTATCCACCACTCTGGGCCAGAACCTACTTGATTTTCTTTTCTGTGAGTTGCTCCAGGGCAGAGTGGCAGTCATCCATTTCTTTCGCAAACTCTAGATTCCTTTTCTCAGCTCTCTCTAGATCCTGCCTTGCTTTGTTCCGTTCCCGCAGCAGCTGTTCCACTTGCCCTCTGCCATGGAAGGAGACAGATCAGATGAAGAACCCACTGTTAGCCTGACATGCCCCCACCTGGGCCTGTTCTGGGCCTGGTCTGAATGAAGATAAAAACAGCTGCGTGAACTGAGGCCATGCATGGGCCAGTGCTGACCTCACTGCCCACATGACCACCTCTGGGGACACTATATGCATATATATGGGGGGAAGAAGGAGGGAGGGAGGGGGAGAGGGGGGAGAGAGAGAGAGTGGGGCATAGACCAAGGACAATTTCCCAGGAAGTCTGAGCCTAGAGCCCTGCAGTGTACTACATATCTAGACAGGCCCAGGACAGGTAAGAATAGATCTCTGGGTCCTCTTGTCTCCACTTGAGCCAGACACTTGGATCCCCAGGCATGAACACCTAAAGGGGAGGAGATGACTGGCCACCATTATCCCTGTGGGCCACATCCCTGCTCTAGCATCCAACAAGTGCAAATGAGTCACCCAGAGCAAAAGGCGATAGGGGTGTGTGTGTGTGTGTGTGTGTGTGTCACTGGCTCTGATCACCTGGCCCCAGCCAAAGCTCTATGCCAATCACCTATTGTTCCTACTATTTTGGTGACTTTTTCCAAGGAAAGGAGCATTGGGCTTCTCCCTCCCCCTTCCTCTGGTTCTGTCTATAGAGCTGTCTGAAGGCAGAAGGTTCATCTGTCAGTACTCCATGACGGGCAAAGTCTTTAGGATCAAAACTGTGATTTCTGCCAATCTTTTTTGCAGCTTTGAACACAACCACTTTTTTTGTGATACTGGGGTTTGAACTCAGGGCCTACTGAGCTTGCTAAGCAGATGCACTACCACTTGAACCACACTCACAACCTTTTTAATTTTTTTTTGGCACTCAGGTTTGCACTTGCTAGGCAGGCGCTCTTACCATGTGAGCCACTCCACCAGTCCTTTTTTGTAGCCTTGGAGCACCAATCAGAACACAAAAAGTCTACTCAAATCTGTTTAGTAGGCAGATGCCTGAACAGTCAGCTAAAGTTGCATCCAACCCAATTAGGGTGTAATGTATTCTTGGTCCAACTCTGCACATTTGAAAAGGACTTTTTTCTTTTCTTTTCCAGCATAAGCTCAGAAGCCCTTTGCCTGCTCTTGGAAATAGGTTCTTGTCTAACTGGAGGGTTTCTGCTTCCACACCAGTAAGCTCCAGAATCAGCAGGATGAGTCAAGTTCACGTCCTTCTCAGAACTTCACTAAAAGGAGCTGAGCGAGGACCCTGACATATAGATCTCTAAGCTTCTCACCAAGCATGAGCAGGAGCTGGTGACCCTTCAAGTATGTGACCATAAAAACCTGATTTCTTTGGTCCTTAGGCCTGGCCCAGCCTGGACACATGAACAACACTTGCCAACTCTGTTCTGTACAGCTGTTTCCTTGCCTCTGCCCCTGAGCTCTAGCTAAAGGAGCCAGAGAACAGGAGATAGGTAAAGCCTAGAGTTCCCACCCCAGGACCCACCACTAGGACAGAAGAGGGTGGCAACAAGGAGAGTATGTCCTAAAGTCCCCTAGAGGTGGGCCTGGTCAGCTTTACCCCCCCGCCCCAAGTTCCTGATGGGCTCTTACTGATGGTAGCTCAGTTCCTGGCGGTAGCAGGCCAGGGCTGCCTGCTGGACGACCCCATCAACCGTCAGGAGCTCGTTGTCAAGGGCCCAGGTCAGCTCCAAAAGGTTCACCTTTTCATCCACACTGAAGTCCAGGCTCTGGAGGGATCAAGCCCCAGTGGGCATGAGAGGATGAGGGGCTTCTCTAAACACACTCTCTGCTCTCCTACAAACAGTCCAGTGGTCCAGACCCATGGTAGCTATGGTAGCCAGCACCTGCCCTTTTCCTATCTACAAAAATCTCTGCCTCTTGGGGGGAAACCTCTGTTCAACCCCAGTAACTGGTAGGCTGTCAACACTGTGCTTCCTGGTTCCTGCCTCAGGGGTGGGTATGGCCCAGGCTAGACATCCAGAGTTCCCTCTCTGAACAAAGTGTGAGACACAGGCAGGGTTATATTGCAAGCAAGCACCATAGGGACTGACATGGAGGGCAGTGGAGTGGGGCCTTCTTTTCTCTGGTATCAACAGTTTTAAAGGCATATGAAAGCCTTGGGAAGTACCACGTGAGAAGGCCTGTTCTGTAGCCAATACCACCATAAAAAAAGAGAAGACACAGAGGTGGGGAGAGGGGTATGTGTCCCAATCAGGCCCCTAATGTTTTCCTTTTGCATAAGTAATATGAGATGACTTTTTGTCATTCCAAACCAAAAAAGATCCTAATTCGACTACCTCTGTGAAATACACATACAGATAGATGATTTTGTTGGTAGAAAAATGATTTATCAAAGGAAGAAGCCACTTCCAAACACAATCCACTAAGGATTTTTTTTTTTTTCTGAAACTCCTATCTTCTTATCTCAGCCTCCTTAGTGCTGGGATTGCAGGCATGCACTACCACACCTGGCTCCTCCACTTCAGGATTTTTGAAAAATAAAGTTAACAGAACAGAATAATTTATGTCATGTATATTCTACCAAAAACCAGTGAACACCCACATGCCCTTTAGCTCAGTTGCCCAGAAACTGACATTGTGCCATACTTCTTTTTCAGTATCAAGTATTCTTGACCTCTGCTTCTAAAAATTATAAACAATTACATCTGAGTCCAGCGGCTGCCTAAGAGAGAAGGTGCCATGGCATGCCCAGTTCCTGTCAGGCATCAGGGTCACTCTTGTAAAATGGAGATTTGACCACTGCTACCCACATCTAAGGTGCTTCTGAAGAAAAATGGCAGGAACACGAGGAGCAAAAGAACACTGGGGCTGTTATGATGGAAGCACACCCTTCCCTGCAACAGTGTCACAAGTGAGGGGCAATTCAGGGAAGTGACAGAGGCATATCACAGCAGCAGCTTCCTGGTCATGGAGAAGGGAGTTATCAAAACCACCTGGTGGGCTGGGGTGTAGCCCAATGGTAGAATGCTTGCACCAGGCCCTGTGTTCCATCCCTAGCACAAGAAATACAGAACAAATGTACTGTGGCGTGTATGGGAACCAGCCTCTGAGACAGCCCAAAACCCGTCTCCTGGCATCCTCCCCTACCCCTCTGAACAGGGCTGACCCATGCAACCAACAGAATATGAAGAAGCAACGTGTGTGATATGCAGGCTTAGGTCATAGACACATGGCTTCCTTCTTCCTTGCTCTCCTGACTCACTCACTCTGGAACAGCAGCTGCCACAGTAAGGACACTCTAGTATTCTCAAGAGAGGCTCCTGTGGCCTACTGTCTGCAGCTGGCATCGACCTGCCACCTGGGTAAATGCATTATGCAGGAAGTAGATCTTCAGCCCCAGATAGGCCTCCAGAAGACTATGGTCCTGGACGGCAATCAAGCCTTTGAGGGACCCTGAGCATGGACTACCCCACTACACTGCTCCCAAATTTCTGACCCACAGAAACTCTGTGAGATGGGACATGGTGAGTGTGCTGCAGAGCAGACCTGATGATAATCTCTTAAGAAGTGAGAGAGAACTAATGTAGAGCAGTGCCAGGACCAGCACTGATATTCCAGACCCTGCTGCAGGCTCAAATCAGAAGCATGACAATCCCAGCTGGAGGCTTGGAGGTCTGGATATGAGACACTGGGCACCTGCATGCCCAGAACTCTCCCCGCCATGCTTTCCTCCCATGAGAAAGGTGTTCCAGGTGCTCACTGCTCTTGATGGAGTCAGCAGCCCGTGTTGCTGGCTGCCAGCCCCATAAAGAAGGAATTATTAACAGGGTCACGGGACAGAAAGGACTCCAAGGTACAACAGACCCTTCAATGATGTGCCATTCACCCTATGTCCCAGGTAAGCCATGGACCCTTTCTGGGTTCCAGTCCTCCCAGGTGCACGCACTGGTACCTTTAGAGCTAATGTGAGGATTAAATAAAGCTGCACACTTGATAGGTCTTTGCTTGGTTTCTAGGTGCTGAGAGGTTCAATCCATATCATTGCTGTTTTAATAAAATGAAATCAAAACCTAAAAGCAGCAGGTAAATTACAAATTGCAAAAGAAATTAAAGTACTGTCTGATAACAGAAAAGCAATGAAAAGAGTAAGTTCTGAAATGGCAGAGGCAAGAATGGGACCTCATCACTGAGCAGCCCAGGTTAGCAGCCAGAGTGCCTCCCCTGCCAAAGAGTCAGTGGTAAAGGTCAGGGTGACCTCAGAACCACAAGCACCTCCACCTATGCCCTTCCTGTATGCAAGTTTTGGTGATCTCAGCTCAGCCTTTGGCTCCTAGAATAATCACAAGGGCTGGCTGCCCAAGTTTGACTTTGCCATCCTGGCCCGCACATTATGGCTGAGTTCAGGCCCCTCTTGTACTGCTGATCACAGCCTATTTAGTTAGAGTTAAAATGAAGGTGGACACAGTGGCATGTGCCTGTAGTTCCAGGTATTGAGTCCTCTGGTTCCAGACCAGCCTGGGCAACATAGTGAGAGCCTGTCTCAAAACAAAAAGCACAAAGAACAAAAAAAGAGTTTCAAAAAAGTTAAAATATATAATTCCAGGAATCTACCACACAGAGAAATACCCACACAGGAGCACAAGGATCTTTATGCCTTATAAACGCTGAGATTTATAATGGGAAAAAAAACATTACATGTCCAATATATTGCAAGTGAAGGTCACATAAATTAGCAAGATACACAATATGACAATGATTTTGAAAAAAAAATTAAACCAGAATGTATATACATATCTGTTTTTCAGGTGCCAAAGAAAAATTCCATAGGAGGCCCATCAAGCTCCAGTTCTGATGTTATTTTACAGATTTATTCAAAGTTGGCAAATTTTTTAACAATAGAAAGGAAATTTGGAAATTCCCCAGTTCCTTACCCATGTTGGCCCCTGTGAGCCTCTGAGTTAGCCACAGAGCTAACAAGGCAGAACTCCATCCAAATCCTAAGAGCTGGCCTTGTGGCCAACTTTACAAAAATCTGTAAAATAAGAAGGAAAGGCAACCTCACTTTGCTCCCATTCTGGGGGACTCTGGAAGGAATTCTGACTCACTGTGTACTCATCAGAAAGGGCTATGACAGTGACTCTAGTGATTCCTCTTACCACAAAGAAGGGGGTTTCTTTCCACTAGTCTGTGGGACTTCCCTCCTTTTTGAGGCAATGAGAGGAATAGCAAGTATGATACTGAAACTTACCTTCAAATAAACCTCAGACTGCTGTTTTCTCTGTTTTACTCTTTTAAAATTAAACTTCCCTATATTTTAATAGCAAAAGTTGAAGGAAGTGTTTTCTTGAAGAGTTCCTGTACAGGATTCTCTGTACAGAGTACAAGTCTTGCTGAGTCCCTAGCATGGGGTACGGGGTACTCTGTCCATCTCCTCTGTGGATACATTGTCTCCAACCCTCTCTCCCCACTGTCCAGCCCCTCTGCTGCCTGGATGACACCAATCCAGGCAGCTACGAGCAGTGAGTTCCAAACCTGCAAAATCTCCCTGCCATTTTGAATCCCTTCCTGGGCCCATGCAGCGATGACCTGCTCAGGAAAGGCGAAGCCACTGCCGTCATCAACGCTTGAGAAGAGGCACAGACCAGAGCACATAGACACGAGGGACGAGGTGGTGGTGGTGGTGTGGCAGCCATTCTCCTCTGAAGCCTGCACATTGGGAAGGGAAAATAGCCTAAGCACCCAGGTGTCCTACAGCACAGCATCTGTGCATTAACACATACTTCCTACACTCACCAGCCTGTGCTCAACTTTGCTTTCTCATCAAGGCCTCAAACAAAACAACTGTTTGTTCCCCTTCCTAAACAAGAGAAAAGAGGCCAAGGAGCACCAAGATCACATAGCTCTGTAGAAGGTAGAGCTAAGATTTATACCCAGGGCTCCAGGCCTCCAACCCCATGCTTGCTCAAGGATCCCTGTGCACCTGAGGGCGCATGGTAAAATCTGGTCAGCATGTTGTCATTTAGAGAGGGACCACAAAGTGATTTTTGATATTTCTCCCTTGCATTAGTGAGAGTGTATACCTGGTCTCACAGAGGAAGAGCCCAGGAAGGTACATGCTGTGTCGGAGAAATCCAGGTTGAGAAAGAAAACAACAGACAGGATCAAAAAGAAGAGATGGAATGGTCCATGCAGAATACAACATTTGCCCAGAATGCAGAGCCCCACAGCTCACAGCTAAGCCTACTGGGGCAATTTACAAAGGTAGCAAACAAATCTTTGAGCCAGAAAACTGCCTGTGAGGCTTTTATAGTATAAAAACCCAAAGGATGAGAATGATTTCCCACTGTTTTCTGCCCAGGTGGGGCTCTTCCTGCACACCAGGTGCCTGTGCTCATGACCCTGTTTCCCATCACACGTGGGGACACCACCGTGCTGCCCTGTGCACATGAGGCCTTCTTGTAAGCCCTCTGCACCAGGCTCCAGCTCCAGGATCTCTTTGCAGATTAAGTCCTTGTGCCTCACCTCCTGCTCTCAGCTGTGTCCCCACCCCTCCACAGAGTCACTGAGATGTGCATTTGCTTATTCCCTCTGTGTGAGAGCTATACAAACCCCATCTATATAGAGAGAGGGCAGCTCCACAATGTCCAGTCACAGCTATGGCCACCCAAGAAGCTTGGACATCCAAATGCACCTGAAAAATTATTGTCTCCTTTCTGTGGAACCAGCAGAAGGTCAGGGCTAAAGCCTCTCTGAGGACTGACACAGCCACATCATGATGGCAGGGTCCACACTGAGGCACTGGGAACAAGGGAGCTCACTCAGAGGAGGCCTCTAGCTTGATCAACACCAAGCATGATAAAACAACTTGGTGGGACTCTTCTTCAGTCTTATGAGTTGTTTTTTTGTTTTTGCAACACTTGGGATGGAACCCAGGGCCTCACACATACCAGGCAAGTGTCCCACCACTGAATCACATACCAGTTCCTAGTATTTCTGAATTATAAGGCCTGCCAGTTTCTTGCAACACTGACTCCTGAGTTTCTTTGCCCATCCTTGTTGACTTCAATCAGAAATTTAGATTCTCAGATGGACCTGGGTAGAGGACAGCACTACTGGTCCCATATCACATTCACCAGCAAAGACACACTCCATCCCAGAGCAACCCTGCGCTGCTGTCCTGCTGCTGAGGATAACAAAGTGCTGAGCCAGCAGGCACTGAGGGAAATCACAAATTAAATAGCAGTCTGAGGTCTGCTCGCATAGAGATGCAGTACATGTATAAGATAAAACTCAGGATTGCAGCATACAGAGATAAAACTCAGGACTGCAGCTAAGGCACCAAAGAACACACCCTCACTGCACAATGGATGAAAGCAAGTCTTCTCACTGAAACATATTACTGCATATGCCACTGTGCAGAGGTCTCATTGAGGAATCGCCAAGCATCATCCTCTGGAACCCCTGAGGTCCAGGCTATCCCCATTGTCTAGACAAGCCTAGAGCTCACAGAAGGTAAACAACTCATGCAGTGACACATAGTTGGGGAAAAGCAAACCAGATCGTCCCCACATCTGCATGATTCCGGAGCCCAAGTCACGTGGCCTCACATATACATGGGTATGTGTACACCCAGACCAGCTCTTGGGCTCACTATAGTGGCACCAGCAGAGTAGTTACCTCAGTTGTTAGGAAGGGATAGCAGGCACTGCTGGGGCTTGACATTTAAGTGTTCTATTTTACCTGGTAATGAGACCAGGGCCTGCTCGGTGTGACAGGAATGGAAGATTCCAGAAGTGAAGTGGGCTCATGACTGAACAGGCCAAGCTGGAATTCTGCAAGACTCACTCTTCCATCTCCATCTTGATCCAGTTTGTTGAACAGATCTTCAAGTTCCTGGGCAAAAGCCAACACCTTTCAAGCCTGGAGGGTACCTCTCCCCCTCCCTTGGGCTCTAAGCACCCAAGGGCAGTCTGCTTGTCCTTATCCAAAATCAAAATTGTCTAGGCCACTTTCCTAAGGCTTCTTGTCTTTGTCTGGAAACTCACTGTGAGTAGGCAGCACCTGAACTTCCTCATTCCACAAATATTCGGTGTCCGGTGGGGACAGGAATTTGTAGGACACTGAGGTGATATACACGGGAAGCATGCCCTTGGTCCCATGGTTAATCGTCCAGCAAGCACATAGGGCTACAAATAACTTTGACAATATGGGACCTGCCCCATCATCACAGCTATCCTCCTGCCCCCTCTGACGCAGGAGCCTGGTGCAACAGCTGTTAGGGGACCCAGGCAGGCTGAAAAATGCCATATTTGGGCTGGGTGATGGGATTGCATCATGAAGAAAAGAGGAAAGGGTGTTTATTTCAGACACGGAAAGGATTATGAGTGAAGGTATTAGAAGGGCCCAGCAGGTTTGAGAGAGGTATTAAGTTTGTGAGGCTGCGTTGAGTACTCAGAGATGGTGTCTGGAGTTTACCTTTGGCAGAAGCACATACAGCCATCATAGAAAGTGACAGAATTAAATAAGTGTCTGAAGGGTAAAGTGATTTTTATAGACCCAAGTAAACTATGACAACTGCAAATAACAAGTCATTGGGGTGGTCCACCTGAGCCCCTTACCTCTTTCTCAAGTCCATGGAGCCCAATGCTCTGGCAGACTACAGCCAGCTCCTGCTCATTCAAATGACCACTGCTACCAACCCCCAGCTCTTCCCAGATAACCCGGACCTGGCTCTCAGGTGTGTCAAAGGAGGGATTGCAGGCCTTCTGGGGGATCCCAAAGACCTCAGAACTCCAGTTTTGCAGCTGGCCTGAAACAAGAAGGATTCATAATAAAACCTCAATAAATACACAATGGAATATTTAGCTTTAAGGAAATTCTGTCATTTGTGACAAGTAGATGAACCTATAGACATGCTAAATTAAATCATCCATACACAGGACAAAGACTGCATGATCTCACTTTTATGTGGAATCTAGGAAAGTGGAATTCTTGGTAACAGAGTATAGAATAGAGGTTCCCAAGGGGCTGGGTGGGGGGTATATGTGGAGGAAAAGAGATGTTGGCTAAGGATACAAGGCTTTAGTTATGATATGATTAAGTACTGAGACCTAATGTACAGCATGAGGACTACCACTAGTAACCATGTACCGACTACTCAAAATTTGCTAGTTCCACATCTCAAATGTTCACAGCACGTACACAAAGACAACTATGTGAGACAATGGATATGTTAAATAATCATTTCACAGTGCATGTGTATCAAATCATCACCCTGCAGAAGTTAAATAAATGTGATTTTTTTCTGTCAGTCATACCTCAGTAAAGCTTGGGGATGGGAGGGGAGTGGGAATTAACAACAGTTAAACCCTGTGCTCCAAGTTGAAGCATTTGGGGGAAGTACCTCAATGCTGGCGATTTCTTTGAAATCAGACGGACCACTGGATGAACAGATGGACACACAGGAGTTAAGGAAGCATCCAAGGAGGGATTTAGGTGGTGGGTACATGGTGCATTCACAGTACAACTCACTCTATTTTATGTCTGAAAATTTTCACAACAAAATGTTGGAGAGAAATCTTGCTCCGTGTGGGGAACGTTCTTTTTGAAGGGAAACTAGTAAAGTTAGATCACTGAAATCACATAAAGGAAGGCTCTACTGTTTGTACTGACAATAAAAAAATGGTTTTTATTTTTGTTTTTTAATTTAATAATCATTACAGTGCTGGAGATGGAACCCAGGGCCTTGTGCATGCCCCTCCACACCTTCCCCACACTGCCCAGCCCAATGCAGAAGAAGGCTGCTCTCAATGAATGCAGGCTTCAAGTGATGCAAGTTCCCTTTCAGTGGTCTGGCTCTGTCATGGAGATGAGCCACAACTGGCATTTATTACTTTTACAACCAATATAGTAATACAAAAGTCATTGTTTCCCAAGGAAAGCCAGGCCCACATGCTCACTAATGACACTGTGGGTTGGGTAGAGGAAAACACAACAAAAGGGCCTGTGGCCCAGCCTGATCCAAGACAAAGGAGATTGCAGGGCACTCCTCCCAAAGGTAGGGGTTTCCTGAGTACAAGGTACTGAGAGCCACAGATTCTGCCCACAGCTCATGGGCAGACAGAGATATTGGCTCAGTATCTTCCCAGGTAGCCTCATGTCTTCTCCAACAGGACACACCAGCTCCATCCATATCACAACAGGTAACTCCCAGTTCCTCACCCAACCAGAGGAACCTGAAGAGGTGTTTAGACAGTCCAGCCATTTCCTCCCTGGTTACTGCAGCTCTACACCCCAAAGCATCGGTTCCTCTCATAACTTTCATGGCAGCCTCCTACTGTCCCCCAGACTCACAGGTCTGGTTTTAGGCTCTTGAATGTGCTCCCCACACATCTATGGGTGCCTCCAGTTTTTCTGGTTACTGTAGCACATGACACCCTCATGTTCTAACTCTTCCTCTCTTCCAAACTGCTTATTCTCCTCCTTTCAACTTTCCCTGTGAGACAGTTTAAAAACATGACTTTAAAATTCTTTGACATTCATCTCATCAATACATGGGGTCTGTGACCATTCTCCTCTATCGGGAAGTTTGTAGCAGCTTCCATCAACAGAACAGAGGAGATGCTGTGTAACTCTGAGGCAGGTCTATATGCCATGAAGCAACCTTAGCCTTGCTTATGGGGTCCTGAGCCACCATGCTGTGAGGAATCCCAGCCACACTGAGAGTCCACTCAAAGCCAAGATTCACCTGAGTCTATAAGCCCAGAAATGTGAGTGATTTTTCACATCGTCACATGATTTAAGATTCAGTCTTCATGTGTCTCGGTAGGGGACTGGACATTATGGAGTACATCCTAAACTGTGTCACTTACAAACCTTCCCTAAGCACTCTAGTTCCCTTCTCAGAGAAGCTCTGCAGCAGTGTAATAAAACATTTGGGCCTTGCAGCCATAAAGGCATGGCATGAACCCCACTCTTGTTCTCCAACTCAGCAAGACCCTTACCTCTGGGCCTCGAGATGCACTAAGGGGAGATGCTCAGACTGCTTTAAGCCTGTTGTCAGGGTTAGATAGGTTCCTCCTAGCTATGCAATCCTCTCATGCCCATGTGGTTGGTGAACACCTTTTCTCACTATTGCAAAATCACACACACTGGCAGTTAATTCTATGTCATCTCTGTCTTTACACTGTTTGCCAAAGCATTGGTCTTATCTCCAGAATTATACTCTACCCAAAGGAAAAGATTCTTAAGCAATATTTGTTTACCTTTTTATATCACAGAAGTACTATAGGCAAATAAATAAATAAATGAAAAAGAAGACCCTCAACCAACAAGTCCTGAAGAAATTTTTACCTGGATAGAAATAAAATGTTTCTGTACCCACAAGAGCATGTATTGCATATGTCACCCTGGAACGGTCCAAAGGACTTCATATCTTGCTTATACCTGAGCACTCAGCTTCTATTTCCAGCCTCAGATCATAGATAGCACCACAACAATGCCGATGGCCAAGCCCTCCCTTTTCCAGCTGTGCAGTGCTCTAGGGCCATGATTTGCTCAGTTGCCAGCCTTTGGTTGCTATGTAAGGCTCTTGAGGACCAGAATCATGTCTTATACTCTACTGAGGGAACAGACAAGTCCCTGGTAGATGCCAAGGCTGTGTCACAGTAGGGGGAAGCTGTGTCCAGGCCCTGCATAGCAGGAAGGACATACAGGACTAGTCCTCAGCTTGACTAGGCCAAGCACGGCCCTCTGACCTGAGACCTTTAGGTCACACCTGCCAACTGTAGTCATATCGGTACTCGCAGACCATGAAACATGGCAGAACCACAGTGCAATCTTGGCCAGTGGCCTCTACCACAGGATCGGACCTCAGGGCAGACGGATGACCAGGTGATTGCCTCAGGGCTGTGATGCCAACATCTTGAGCATTCCTGGAAAGACAGCCATCAGGGACACCACCCACAGCATGCAGTTCTCAAGAAATTATTCTTGTGGCTGTCCCCTGCCCAACGACCTAGCACTCTGAGATATTAAACTACTAGTCAAACATGGAGAACATGAAACATGAGGCCACAACATTACCTTGTGCTTCAAATAATTCATTCTGAGGTTCTTTAGCACTCTCAGCTTCTTCATCTGACTTGAGGCTCTATGGAAAAACATGAAGAGAAGGATATGAATCCTCAAACAGGGTCAAGGTGGTTGGAGCACGAGGAACAAACAAAATAGGATGGTTTGGGTTGGAGAGGGACAATGGAGGATGCACTCTATACTAAGACCCCACAGGGCATGGCCCCCACTGAGCAGCATGCATACCACTAATGGCTTCTCAGAAACAAATGGTTCAGATGTAGGTATGGGCACATGCCTCGTTCTGCACACTTGGGGCTCCTCAACATGAACAAAAACTATCAGCAGTTTGCAGTGAAAATATAGTGAAGCCCTCACATCCTAACAGAAGAAACACAGGTTTCCTCCAGCAGTATGAGGTAGTGTGGATGGCTTCAGATGCTAGCACTTTTCTAGAGTCAGTCAATATTCCAGTCACAGGACATATTCTCCAAACAAGGCTTGTGACATTATGGTCCTCTGTTTTGTCCCTTGTCATTCATGTCAATTCAGCAAGCAGAAGGTGAATTGTGTCCCTCTAAATGCTTTAAGGATGCACACTGCACCTCAGAGGTCTTTGCAAGCTTGCAAGCTTGCAGCAGAATAAGCAGAGCCATCAAGAAACACACAGCTTAAGTCAAAACCTCATGTTTCAGTGACCAAGTTAGAAGACCAGAGTTAAAGTCTGCTTCTGAACAAGTGTTGTGTGTCCTGTAACCAATTCTGGAATGAATAACCAAGACTCTGTCCCTTCTAAAGCTTGCACTAACACTCAAGAACCAGAATCCAAGTCGGTGATAAAGACTCAACCCATTGTCATTATTCATTCAACTCAGCTGGCAAACATAAAGGCAGCTTTCCCTGTGTCCACATTTTGAGGGTGAAAGATGACCTAGGTACAGAATGGCACAATGAAGGTGGAGCTCTACAAGCCCAGCAGACAAACTCAGTCCTCTGCATCTGAAGCCCAAAGTTAAAAAGAGAACAAAAAGAAATGTCCTAGATTTCTTGGTATTGTCCAGATGTAGCAGACTCCTGAGAGAACACTCTTCCTCTTTGCCTCAAAATGTAAGCTAATCATTTTGGGCCCCAGAGGTCTTATTAAACATAAGTTCCAAATTTTTATGGTCCTATCTGTTGGAAGTTGACATCACAGAGAACAGCAACTAGGAATCTTCTTAGAATCCTTAAAATAGAGGGTCTAATGAGCCCATTATTAACCCGAAAGCTGTAGAATTGCCCCATGGATATATTTCTTTATAGTAAACATGCCAAGCTCTGGCAGCTGGTCTCTAAGACCTCTGTGGTGAATGGCACAGGGTGGACAAAAGAAAGTACCAATTCTCAAGGTTCCAGAGGGGCATCTGACTCAAATTCTCCAGGTTCTAAGTGTTTGAGGCAGGTGGAACTGTGGACTTGGTAAGTCCACATTTCTCACCTTGAGGCTATAGCAAAGGTATTTTTCCTTTTATAATCCTCGACATATGAACATTTCAGTCTTATAAAGCCATAAAAATTAACTTCTTGCAATGATGTGGAAGGTGCTGGTGGTGCATGGGGAAGCAGAGAAACAAAAGATCTATCTACAAATCTACCTCTGCCCCAAGTCTGAAAGAGAGAAAGTGCCTTGTGGCTAGGACTACCCCAAAGACCATCAGACCAAAGACAATTTTAAATGAAATGCCATTCATAACGAGAACCCAGGCTTCTGGGAACACAAGATGCTTGGGAATATAGCTGACCTCCCACATCCTCTGGTGATCCATATACAGTGACAAACCGAAACATTATTTCCCCAATATTGAGAAACTTAGGGTGAGAAGCGATGGCTGACCCACCTCCACACTTTCCAGAGATGCAGAACGCCGAAGGTGCTTCTTCAGGCTGGCCTTGGCTTGCTGTTCTGGTCCACACTTGGCTTCGGTGACAGAGTCCCACAGCTCGGGTTGACTCCGACGGCCGTACCACTTAGAGCCGCTCACGTACTTTGGTGGAACAGCACAGGAGGCAGCTAAATAGAGAACAGGAGATATGGGAGGACCTATGAAGTGGACTCTGAGCCTCCAAATGTATATGGAACACTCTCTAAGAAGCTGAAGATTGCACTGTTATGGACACAGAAAATGTTTGGAAGAACAAAAGAAAGGGTTAATAGTGTGTACCCTGTTGCTTGTGGTAAAATCAAGAAGGCTAGGGCAAGCAGATGGGGCCTTTCCACTAACCTCCTGTGCTGTCTGCATTTTTTTCAAGTATATTTTACTTTTGTTTATGGAATAAAAGACTAATACAAAAACTAGCTTTTATGCAAGGTAAGAAAACCTTTCAATAATCCAAAAACACATAGCTCTAGAGACCTAATGACTACTTCCCACAACCATTCACCTTAGGACCTCACTGACAGGGCTGGAGAGGTGGATGTGGGCCACAGAAACAGATGCGTGATCTTCTGCAGCCTTGTGGGCAGGTATTAAGGTCTGGGATAGAAACAGGCATGGATTTTAGTTTCTGGACTTATGAGAATACCCTCCACTTCCTACTTCCCACCTCTACTCTGCACATCTGCACAATTCTATCAAATAGTAGAACAAATGTTGGCAGGGCAGGAGAGAGCATGGGGAGGTCACAGGTGCAACAGCCATAGATGAGTTCAGGGGAGGAAGCAACCAGAATGGGGCCAGCTGGAGAGAACAGGATGGGCCCAATGAGGCCAGTCCTGGCCAGGAAACTGAAGAGCACTTCATAGCAAACATGTCTTGGGCCTCACCCCACAGAAGGCAGCTCCCTAAGGCAAAGAACCACCTCATTTCTTTCCTCTGTGGGGCTGGTTCACAGTACTGACCTTAGGTCCATCAGAGGAGGAAGCTGGGTGGAGCCTGACCAACTAGAAGAACAGGGAGAGAAACAGGAATTGGGGATGAGGTTTTGTGAGGAAGATGTTGAGTTCCACTCAGGACATGCTGAATGTGAAGTAACAGGTGTGGCATTCAAGGTAGCTGAAAACACATAGGGTGATGGCTGGGACACGTTAGTGATTTCTCATGGACACGATAAACAACCATCCTGAGACAACAGACATTGATAGACCTGGTTGGGGAAATTCTCCTCAAAGGGACAGAGCTTATAGGACATACTGAAGAGCAGAAAGTGAGAGACAGAAAACAAGACAAAATGTACCAATGTTCATGGGGTGACATCAACCACAGAGAAAGGCTCTCAATAAGAAGCTGCCAAAAAGGTGAATGAACAAACCAATAAATAAAGGCTTCTGCTGCTGATTCCATTTGCAGGCAAGGGGAGAAGTCTTCCTCTTCCCTTCCCTGTCTCTTAAGGAGACACCTTGAAGTGGCACAGGAACATGAAATCATTCTTGCTAGCAGTGGGAAGCATAGTACACTTGGTCAACCAGGTAGAGGAAACTCAAAAGAGCTCACAATCTCCAGACTACCAGACCTGCCACAGAGAAGACCCTGGCCACTACACTGGCTGCCTGTGGCTCTCTCACGGGGCTCAGTCAAGTACCTGCACATTTGGGAATGCTGCAGCCACCTGTGTTTCTGCTTCCTGGGCTGGATTTCCTTCCATCCACCATCCCCTCCTCATGTCCCCCTCTTGTCCATGCTCAGGCCCCATGCTGACTTCATGCTTTTGTGTTACTATGTCATCCTTGTTGTTAGTTAGCCAGAACTTCCCTTAGAATAATGAGCTGCCAAGAAATACACCTGCTTTTTTTCATAACACTCCCCAGTGTTCTCATCAGAGAAGGATGAACCAAAGGACAAACCTCCCTCCATTACAGAGAAACACTACTTGGAGAAGATTGTCCATGTGACTCATCAGCATGGAAACAAGAATGGCAGAGAAGTGGCAATGGCAACAATGACTTGGCAGCCTTCCAGTCCCCTCAGAATCCAGAGTCTCTCCCTCTGGAGTGGGAAGCACCATAAGTCACCAGAGCTCAGGATCTTTTACTGCCCTCGGCCAGTGCCCCTAAAAGGGCACCTGAGGCAATGGTTCCAACACACCTCACAGAAGCCCCAGTGGTTGACACATCTTCTAGCAAAAGCCCTGCACAATTGTATGCTTTCTCTGTGTGCATATTTACTATTGGAAAAGTTAACAAAGTCCCAAAAGTAAAATTCCTTTAGTTGTATGTTCAATAATGACCTTTAACAAAAAGGAGGAAGATGACAGGGCAGCAGAGCTACTCTTCACAAGTCAGGGAATATGGGAACATCCTGAAACTCTCAGACCTGGAGTATCCAAAGCACATTTTTCTGATCACAGTGTGTTTGTGTGTGGGGAGGAAGTGGGGGTTAAGCAGGAAGGACTGGCTAAGAGATTGGAACCACGAAGATGAAGATGTTGTGACTGGAGATAAGCAGGCCTGAAGGCGGAGTCCTACAGCAGTTCAGACAGAAGGGCAAGGAGCAGGGATAAGACACGGGGAATGGGATTAGGTGTGTGGCATGGGCAGGGAGACGAGCAAGATGAGAATGACTGGGGGTGGGGGAAGGACACTGAACCAGACTCGACCTTGGAGGGTGTAGGCAGGACTGACTGACTCTGTCTGAGTTGCTGTGGCCTGTGACCCTTTCTGGTTAACCCTTCAGAAAGGGGACAGGTACTTGGAGATGGATAAGAAGATAAGCTCCTCCTACTAACATGAAGGGGCAGCATTGTGGATAGGGCGTAGGACCATTCAGTTAAGGAAAGCTTTCAAATTCCAAGGTAAAAGAAAAGAAAAACAAAACCAGAATTGGTGAGAAAAAGCACAGGTCCTAAATGAGCTCATTTCTGTGGGGGAACTAATAGCATGTCCCATACATGGAGAGTTTGAAGCTGAAAAGTGCCACATGGCATCAAAAAGGAATTTGTGTGTTCTCTGGATACATCAGTGGGGCCAGGTCTCTCTTTCCTTAAGACACTTTGAGATCACCGATCATGTTCCAAACTTCTGTAGGTCAAAGGGCAAGTGGCCCTCTTCATCTCTTGGATGAAGAGGAAGGTGCAAGATTCTGAAACAGTCATGCAAATGGTATGGGTGGGGCTGACTATAGCCCCAGGTCTCCCCTCAGCTCCAGGGCTCTGTGAACTGTGACAGGGGTCTCTACACCAGGCAAGAAGGTAGGAAGGAGGCCAACCATGGCACCCAATGGAACAAATAGGGTTCTGGGAAAGGTGTGCACAAGGGCCCAGGGCTTAATGCTGGAAACCTGGGACTCAAATCCTAGCCCCCACTTACTAACTATGGGATTGTGGACAAATCCCTTCTCATCTGGGACCTTAGTTTTCTCATCTAAATAACAGGTATGGCAATACCACACAGCTTGGCAGTGACAGAAAGTGGGGTTAGAATATAGTTTTCAGAATGGCTAGGCTAAATTCCAAAAGGCAACAAGTAAGTAGTAAAATGAAACTAAAGTCAATAGAAGAAAATCCTCTTACCCGTTTCCAAAGAACTACTTTCTTCTTCATCTGAAGGGCCAACACGAGCATTTGATGATAAAACAGCCACAAAACCTTCCTTAAATTCCTCAAAGTTAACCTGTGCGAATTTAAGTAAAGAGGACAATGCTACTTTCAACAAATCCATATTTAATACAATAGTCTTTGAACTTTTTTTTCCTCAAATAGAAACATTCTATTGTTGCCTTTTAGATTGAGAACGTTCATTTCACCTTTTCAGATATATACTTAAAATTATTTACAATGGAAGAATATAATAATGAAGGTAAAAGTGAGCCATTACCTAACAAGGCTAACAATTTTATAAAAGCAAATCAAACGACACAATTAGAAAACAACAGCCATGCATGATGGCGCGTGCTTATACTTAGGAGGTTGACACAAGAGGATTCTTTGAGCTCAGGAACTTGAGGCCAGCCTGGGGGATATAATGAGATCCTGTCTCTAAAAATGAGAGAAAAAAAAAAAGAAAAGGAAAGAAGGAGAAAGAAACTGGCAGAGAGAACAAACAGTACAAAAGAGAATCTGATGGTATTAATACAGACTACTGTCATTAACATTAATACACGTAAAATAAGCATCCGTGGTATCACTGTCCTGTCAAGAAACAACACCCTCCAACCCGCCCTAGCACTCGGAAGGCCCCATCACCTCAGATCCCTTCCTAATAACTCTCCTACATCCATTCTGACTTATGGTGATAAGTTCCTTGCTTTTCTCTATCTTGTTGCATGCATTCCTAAAAAACATGATTTAGTTTTGCCTCTATTTTAAACTGAATTAAATGCAATCACATGTAAATATTACTTCATATCTTGCTTTTTTGACATTTCTTTTATAATACTCATAAACTGCCATGCCTAGGTATAATTCATCTTCTCTGCTGTGAAAACTGGTGCTATAATACAATCCATGGTCCTACTGGCAAGCCTTTCCATTGTTTCCAATGTTTGTCTACTAAAATCAAAACTCCTTTGAACATTGCTGCACATGTGGCCTTTGGGTTTTCTCCACAGTGTATACCTAAGAATAAGCATCTTGGGTGATAAAATGTGTGTTTAAATCCTCTTGGTGAAATGAACCTTTGCTAACCTCTTTACTTTGGTAATACTTGTTGCATTAAAGTCCATTTTCTCTTATATCAAAAAACAATCCCAGTTTTCTTTTGGTTAATAGTTACATGATTATCTCTTCATCAACTTTTAATTTCAATTATTTACATCCTTATGTTTCTTATTTTATCATCTCTTATGAACAGTATAAAGTTGCATTTTTTTCTAATGTGATTATCATTTAACTGACTGTTTTAGTCTACTTACATTTAGTGTAATTACTGATATATTTGGATTTAAATCTACTATTTTATTTGTACTTTCAGTTTAACCTACTTGTTTTTTCATCTCTTTGGATTTCATTTTCTCTTTATTAACTTAGAAATTATAGCAGTCTATTTCTATTCTCTTACTGTTTATCCTAAAAGTCACATGTACTCCTAACTTACTCAAATTTATTATTACTCAATACTTTACCCTCTTCTATGGTAACATAAAGACTCTGCAACACTTCACCTCCACTTACTACCTATTGTCATGTATTTTAGACCCCCCAGAATACTTTTTATTTTATATAGTTAATGTTCACTTAGGATTTTTCATATATTTACCACTGTTTTTCATTCTTTCTTTCTTTCTTTTTTGTGGTATTGGAGTTTGAATTCAGGGCTTCATGCTTGCTAGGCAGGTACTCTTAACACTTGAGCCACTCCACCAGCCCTCTTTTTGTATTTCTGGCCTTCCATGTGGGATAATTTTCCAACTATTTAAAATACATCTTGGGACTGGGGGTGTAGCTCAGTGGTAGAGTGCTCACTAGCACACACAAGGCCTTGGATTCAATTCCCAGCACTGCCAAAAATTAAATAAGATAAAGGTACATATGGTTAGGCTAGTGAGGACAAACTAACCTAGCCCTAAACTCACTTAAAAACAAATAAATAAGTAAAGTACGTCTTTTAAAACTTCATTTTTTGCATACATTGATGATGAACTTATAATTTGTCTGTGATATTTTAATTTTACCTGTAATTTTTAACAGAATTTATAACATAATAATAATTTATTCTTTTAGTATAGTAGAAATGATTTTGATGCACACTTAAAACAGTCATACAGCGAAATATATGACCATGAAAAAAGAGCAAATTACTGATAGACCCAACAATATATCTCAGGGACATAATACTGAATAAAAGCCAAAAAAAAAAAAAATAGAATATGTATTGAGTAGGTACTCTGTATTTCCATTTTTTTCAGAAATAGGCAAAACTGATCTATGGTGTCAGTGTCAGAAGAATAGTCAACCTCTGTTGATAGAGCCACCACACAATGCATGAGAAAGGATACAGGATGATTACATATGTGTGCTCAGTTTGGAGCGTCACTGTGTACTTTCTCTATGCTTCAATCAAAGTCACACAGAAAGAGATCAGCAGAAGAGTTATTAGGTCACACTGTCATCAGCAGGTGTTGGAGCAGCAGGTTTGGTGTTCCCAAATCTTGCAAAGAACTTGAGTAAGTATCTCTATTGCTTCCATTGATGACAAATCACAACTGTGATTTGTGACTTTACTTGGGATGAGCACGTGTCAGAACCTGACATTAGATAATGCTGACATTTGTTTATTTCTGTCACCCTAACTAGTGTATGAGCTGACTGCTGGCATATGGTAGACACTCAACAAATATTTATTCCATGTGTTTGCCTCTTATCCTTTCATCGCTAAGTAGAACTCCATTTCTCACGGAATTTTTTCACCTTTATACTTGAAAGACATTTTGCAGGGTATGAGATTCAGGTCAACAGTTGCTTTCCATTAGCATATTGGAGATTCTCTCACTTTCTTCTGGATTCATGTTGCAGTGGAGAAGGCAGCTGTCATGACTCATTTTTAGGATAAGTCTTTTCTCTGGATTTTTTAAAAAAATTATTAAACTTTTAAGATAATTATAGATTCACGTGGAGTTATAAGAAAAACACAGAGATCTTGTGTACCCACCAGTGAGCACTTCAAAGATGTATTTTGTCTTTATTTTCCTTCAGTTTTACAATAACATGCCCGGGTGCGGGTTTTTATTTATTTTGCTTGGAATACCATTAGCTTTGGAATCACGAAGAATGTTTCTGTTCTGCTGAACATTTTTAGCTACTGTCTCTTCATATGATGCTCCATTCACTCCTTTCCTCCTGGGCCTCTAATTAAAACAATCAGAGCCTTCTCCTCCATCTTTACCATTATGGATAACTCCAACTAATGAATGCCTTCCTCAGCTGTATCTAATCTGCTGTGACAGTCTTAGTTTTAGCTTTTAAATTTTGGTCATTGGATTTTTTTAGTTCTAAAAGTCTAACTTGGTTCATTAATCACATTTGTTTTATTGCTTTTTAGAGTTCCCCCTTTTCTATAGATCTTTTCAAGCCTGGTTTTATTATTATTATTTCGAAGGGGGTGGTACTAGGGTTTGAACTCAGTCTTGCACTTGGCAGGCAGGCACTCTATCACTTGAGCCAGGTCCCCCAGCCCTTCAAGCTTGTTTTGTTTTGTTTTTTTAGTTTCCTAATGTAGTTACAAGGTTGTTTTGTATTTTGTGCCAAATGATTCCAATACCTCACACCTCACATCCTTGTGGATCTGCTTCTGTTACCTTTTGTTTTTGCTGATTCTTGTTCATCCTGTCACATTTGCCTGTTACTCATTGCAGCAGGGAGGGGGCCAGAAAAGAAACAAGCAAGTCTGCAGTGGGGTGGAGATGGCATAGCAGGGAGATAAAAGTTAAAGAATCTAAATGTGAAGAAGGTCACATAGCACTGGGCGGTGAAGTAGCCAATAGAGTTGCATGCAACCATATATGGGTATATAAGGTAAGGCCCCTTTGTTCTCAGGGCTCAGGCTTGGGATGCAAGACCACTGACTGAGTCTGTGTTGGCACAATAAAACCCTGCTTCCTGTTGAACTGCTTCAGTGTCCCATTTCCCTGTCCTTGAGTATCCTGCAACACCATGATTGTATGTTAGTCACTGTATGTGGCTATCACTTAGGAATATTATCAGATCTGGAATGATGGTGCTTTCTTCAACAGTGGACATTTATTTGCCTTTGCCAGGTGCCTACAAGCACTACCAATGCAGGACCATATTAATCTAAGTGAAAAGCCTGAGGTTCTGTAGACTAATGAGACCAAAACCAGAGCACAAAGACTGTTGACTGGTCTGCAGGTCATCTTTGCCCAACAAGTGTTACCCAGTTACTCCCTTCAACTGGGGACTAATTTACCGGATTCTTTACTTTGGATGAATCTGGTTTTAACAAATATTTCTCTGGCCTTATGGGTCCCCCAGACCACGGATCAATTTCATACTTGCTTCCTTTGGATAAACAGAGCTGAGTGTGCTGAGCTCACCTGGCTAGGCACTTGACGTAATAGATTTTTGGACTGATAATTTCTCGCTGACTTTTCATTCTGCACTATTTCAAGTTTCGTTTTGTGGGGAGTTTTTTGGTTTTTTTTTTTTTATAAATTAACCCTCTGCAAAATGTTGGCCTGAGTTGATAACTTGCCAATATTGAAATGTCTGACATTTCCTCATTCCTTAGGGCTGCATAAAATTTCATCACATGGTTCTTGTAGAATTTATTTAGCCAATCCCCAAATGAAAAAGTTGTTTCCAATCTTATTTTAATTGATGCTATGATGAATAACCTTACATATATATATTTCATATGAAGATAGAAACTGAGTTTCTTCTTTGCATCCCTAGCATCTGCTGTTGCTTAGGCACATAAGTATTCAAAAAAGAATTGTTAAATAATAAAATGGCTATTTTGCTTGATTTAGTCATAGATTTCCTTTCATTTCTGATAATAATTATCAACTGATTTTCCTCCCTTCATAAAGCAGCAGTGGGATCTTATGGCCCAATTTGGGGTCATTTTAGCCTCTGTTTCCTCATGCTCTACTCCTTTATAGCTTTCAAAACAGGAAGAGCAACATAGCATTCAGGTATTCAACCTGGAATGGCACACCATTGCATCTCTGTACAATCTCAGACTAATTCATTGAAAAAGGAAAAGGCTGTACTTATGATCGATCCAGAATCACTTTCAACTTTGGAATTATTTCCAATAACGCTATGTTATGAATTATTTTTTCAAGAGAAGAATACTGTGTCCAAATTTAAAATACTTGAGGTTAAGATCCTCACCACTGGTATGAAAAAAAAAAGTTAGCATAACATAAAATAGGCATGGAGATTATTCCCCAAGAAAGACACAAGAACTTTAGGTCATATTAACTTTCTAGCTTGAAACCAGACCTTGATAGTAGTTCTTTAACAAGTAATTAAAAAGAAACACCCACAATGCCTTCATGTTAACTCACATGTTACAATATTGTTTCTTTGTTTCTTGTAACTGGATTTCTGTAGTAATGACTAATATTTACAGAGTCTCATATATGGCACTTTCTACAAGGGTACTGGATATATGGTATTTTAACAGAAAAACTAATCCATTCTCCTGGTAAAGGATTTAACTTGATTTTTCTTAGAGACTTCCTGGAATCTCCACTATTTGGTTTCTGTTGTAGAAAAAGGAACAAATGTATGGCTATTTTTGGCTTAATACCTGCTTTCCCAAAATCTCTCTATGATTTTCATCCACTTGAGGACTGTGTGAGTTCTGTGGAGTCTACAGGATAAAGCAGAGGGCCAGTGAGCTCTGAAGGGACCAGTCACACAGGAGACAAATGCCTGGTCTCAGCAGCATCAGGTGGGGAAGGCACCACTCTTGGAGTGTTAGCGAGGAAAGGACACCTTCCAGTCAGACTCAAGAGCACTCATGCAAGCAGAGCCACTTCAGTTATTCAACATCTGACTTGCTTTGGGGAACAAAAACAGAGAATGGAATTGGGACAGCCAGGATAGACGGCAAACACACACACAGCTCTGCCTGGAAGGAGTGTTACCAGAAGGGGCTGTCATCATTTCTCATGGTGCCTTTCCTTCTTTCTAACATCCCTCCCACAAGTGTGTCAGAAGACACAGCCAGGCCTCCTGGAAGGAATGACATCTTGGAAGAATTGCTTTTCAGGACCACATGTGACATGGCATTAGGTAGAAATCTGAAGTAACCCAAGCTGGGTTTTCTCTTTGCTGATGTTCCAATGCTGGTCTTTTTCTTTTCTTTTTTTTAATTACCACATCTGATGTTTCTAAATCTTCCACAAAGCATAAAGTAAAGAAAGGGGCAGGAACTATATGGCTAATTTAGTCAGCAGAGGCTATAATACCAATCAGCCAAAAAGTTACTCTTTTGGTTTTGGGTTTTCCAAACTGTCAAAAAGACCAAGAAAAGCAGATCATCTGTTTATACTATTGATAAATTACAAATGTACCTTTTGCCCATCTAGGTCCCAAATAGAATTCCAGCTGGTATCAAGAGGGGTTAGATACTATCAGAAACACATTTCATGCTTAGGTTCATTTTTTAATAAAAAGGAAAGAAAAGAAAAAAAAGGCAGGAGACCAGCCTCAGTGGCTCACATACTCTGGAGGCAGAGATGGGGAGAATTACAGTTTGAGGCCAGTCAGGGCAAAGAGTAAGCAAGAATCTATCTCAACCAATGAACTGGGTGTGGTGGCATATGCTGCATATGCCTGTGATTCCAGCTACACAGGGAGGCCAAAGGTAGAAGTACTGCAACCTGAGGATGGCCCTTCGCAAAAATGCGGGACCCTTCCTGTGGTAACCTTACAAGAGAAAGATCCTGAGTTCGAACTCCAGGACCATCAGGAAAAAAAACAAAAAAAACAAAGGCAGGAATTGAGAGGGCATGGTCTGCTTAACCAAGGCAGAGTTCTTTATAAGGGAATAAGAGTGCCCTGCTAATGGGGCAGAGGTTCTGTGGGGAGCAGCAAGAGGTCAGCTTCACCTGGACTCTCCCCAAGTCAGCAGTGGGGATTTTTTTGGTTTTGTTTTTGCCCAAGAATCAATTCAGGAAAATTATAGGTTAGATGTTTTTTTTCCATACAAAATGAAAATAGTTTTACTGAATCCTGTGGAGAAAATGTTTTTCCTTCAAAATTAAGATGACCAGCAAGTAAGTAGTAAGCAGTAGTACAGGAGTAGGGAGTGTTGCTTTCCACTGTTTAGATCATGGAAGCAGGTGTGGCCTAAAATCTGGACCACCATTCCAGATGATCTTGAGTTTTCTAGAACTCACATAGTCTATCCGGCCTATCTGAATTTATCAGCACCACAGACATGGTATCCTTCATTCTTGAAATAGTATTTTGTACTTGTTTTGTCCAATGCTTAATGAATTTCAAGTTGTGAAATTTTCTAAGACAGTCTGTCTTTAAGGTATTATGAAGTTACCTCTGAATAACTGACCAGTGTGTGTGTGTGTGTGTGTGTGTGTGTGTGTGTGTGTGTGTGTGTGTGTGTGTGTGGTTCCTGGGGAAAAATCACTAAAACATCTTCCTGGGTAAACAAAGCATACAAACTCCTGGAAGTTATTACATTAAAAGAAAGCAATCTTAAAGAAACACCTTCTACAATGCAGGATTTCAGTAGAAGAAAAACATGTTTTCATATGCTAATAACTTTCCTTTGACAAGTATCTGTCTTCAGCTGAAATTTACTAAATGCCATGAGAGCCAAATAGAGATCTCTCACTCTTTTTTCATGGGAGGAGTCCACACTCACCCTGGCAAAGCGGTCATTTCCAAGGAGAGTCTGTAGGAGGGCCGGCATCTGCTCTTCCAGGCGAAGCTTCTGGCAGAGTTGGGTCAGCTCCTCCCTATCCAGAAAGCCGGTGCCTGTGCTGTCACAGCTACTGTAGATTTCCCTGAGCTGTGAGACATAGTGGTTCTCTTCGTCATCCATCCCATAGCAGCCTGGTTATTCCAGGGGGGGGGGGTTGGAAAAGAAAAATGTTAGGACAGGTTTCTTGCCACCTACACCCCCACACACACCTGCCTAAACATTGGACAAATGCAGGCCATACAGCTGGCATGTGGGAAAAGATATTAAGAGCCCTCTCAGGGTCAAATGCAGCTGGAAGAATCAGCTCCACGTTGCAGGAGAGGACAAAGTAGGTAACAGAAATCCAGGATAAAAAGGCCAGTCTTATGGTCATCAAAGGGCAAGAATGGGGAGCGGGAGGGGGTGGAGTGGGTGGTAAGGGAGGGGGTGGGGGCAGGGGGGAGAAATGAACCAAGCCTTGTATGCACATATGAATAATAAAAGAAAAATGAAAAAAAAAAAAAAAAAAAAAACAAAACAAAAAAAAGGGCAAGAATTTATTTGTTGCATATATATTTAAAAAATTTATTATAGAATACTAGAAAACAGATAAAGACTGATGCTGTGGCATGTGTTTTAATACTAGCTATTCCTGAGGCAGAGGCAGGAGAATTGTAAGATCGAGGATAGCCTGGGCAACTTAGTAAGACCCTATCTCAAAATAAAAGAAATAAAACGGAGGGGAGGGTAAGCTCATGAATGCTCAAGGCCCTGAGTTCAATCTTCAGCTCCTCAAAATAAAATAAAATTATTTTTAAATACAGAGAAGATTACAAATCCCAAAGAAGAAAAACATGATTATAACAATCATCTAAAAATGCTCAAACTACAAGAAGGATGTACTGTTTCTGACAGCCAGATTATCCATACTAAAAACCTTCACTGAGGCAATCTTAAGAAGGGGAATCTCACACATTGCTGGAGGACAGAACAATCAGTAGACATTTCTGGAGGACACTGTGTTCTGTATATCAAAAAATTCAAAGCCAGACATCAATGGCTCACGCCTGTGATCCTAGCTAATCAGGAGGCAGAGATCAGGAGGAGCGTGGTTCAAAGCCAGCCTGGGTAAACAGTTTATGAGACCCTATCTCAAAAAAACCCATCACAAAAAAAAAGAGCTGGTGGAATGGCTCAACAGATAGGCCCTGAGTTCAAACCCCAGTACCACACACACACATACACAAAAATTAAATATTCTTATTATCTGAGTGTTATCTCACTTATGTAAAATACTTTACAGAAACTCCTTATATTTAAAAAAAGAGATATAAAGACATGAGTAGATTATCAGAGTAGAACAGAAAACAACTTAAAGTATAAGACAAAAGAATTGTTTGCTAAATTATAGGGTGTTTATAAAACATAATACTAAATCATCTCTAAAATACATTTCTAAAAAATATTTGCTGCCAGGAACTGGCAGCTCACACCTGTAATCCTAGCTACTCAGGAGGCAGAGATCAAGAGTATGGCAGTTTGAAGCCAGTCCCAGGCAAACAGTTTGTGAGACCTTATTTCAAAAAAACCCATCACAAAAAAAGGGCTGGTAGAGTGGCTGGAGCACCTACTTAGCAAGAGTGCGGCCCTGAATTCAAACCCTAGTGCTGCCAAAATAAATAAATAAATAAAAATATTTACTAGCGTGAAAAGTGTAGTTAGTAAATATCACAGCAGGATAATTTTTTTATCAAAATAATAGCTAGTATACTTATTTGGTCATTTTAACATGTAATTCATTTATGCCTTATAACAATTCTGTTGAGAATATTCTGCAACTTCTACGAGAAAAAATAAAAATGGGAAAGAAAGAAAAAATACACTACAATGGTAAGAATTTTTTGAGGCATTATACCTTTATATTTCCTATTTTACACACTTTTGTAGTTCCCAAAAACTTTATAAGAGAAAAAAGTGTTTTAAAACCAGAAAAACATCGCTAAAATATGAAAAAACACTGAGGTCCTAAAGACATTAGGATGAACAATACAAAACCAACACTACTTGTCCATTTTGATCCATGAAAATAGCAGTATCATTCAGTTTGGCCTATGATACAAACACAAGAAGAGAAAATTCTTAAAAGAGGAAATAAGGAAACAAACACAGAAAGCCAGTCAAGTTCATTAATAAATTAATAATCATTAATAATCAATTAACTTACAAACATGAAAATAATGGAGCAACATCTCTTACTAGTAGGCACAGCATAACAAATGCCAATTTAATACAGGCGCAAGTGTAATATGCAGATGGTGTTTGCCGGCCCTCACTCATGCAGGGAGGCCTGAGTCAGAACTTTAGGAAGGATTAAATGTTTCCTATCAACCCCTAGTGGAGAATCTGCGTGCCCAACTTCTCACTCAGAAAAACTCTATAATCAGTGACATAAAAACTTAACATTGAATAGAATCCTCACAGTAGTTTCACTGTGACTGTAGACAGTGAAGTACTTCTGGCCAAAACGCTTGTTGGCAAATTATAAAAATCAGCCAGTGTTCACAAAGAATGAACAAACTGCTTCATTAACTCAGCTCTCCTGTAGGTGTACAATGGTAATGAACCTGTTCAACAACATGGTGTGACAGACCTGCGTGCAAGAGAGTAGTCTTTTTTTGTGGTGCTAGGGTTTGAACTCAGGGCCTCACACTTGCAAGGTAGGCACTCTACCTCTTGCCAGCTCAGTATAGTCATTTTTTTAAATGAAGAAAGCGTAGAAAGATTACTCAGAGAACATCCATTAAAAAACAAGTAGGGAGGGGGTGGGGGAAGGGGGGAGAAATGACCCAAACATTGTATGCGCATATAAATAAAAAAAAAAAACAAGTAACAAAACAGTATTACATGAAAATAATGTACATCTATGTGAGCTATATTCGCACACATGTATGGCTGTCCATTCCAGAGACTTGGAAATAGTCCAAAGCCTATACCCCAAGAAATGATTTCCCCTGGGAAACAGGGTTGTGAGTACAGGGAGAGGGGTTTTTTGTTTTGTTTTGTTTTTAGTTTATGTACTTCTAATTGCTCAAAATGATTATAACGAAAGATAAAATTGAGGCAATTTCAAAACGGGCTTAGTTCATGATTCATGGCCATGAGTGGGAGCACAAGAGGAGATGCTAGTGCAATCAGTTCTGCCTGGGTCCATTCCTCCAGTCACCCTGTACTCCAAATCCTTATTCCCTGATGTTGAGATCCTGAATTTTGCTACATGTCCTTTTTACTGTGTGTTCTACTGTCAGTTCACTTCTGGCTTACTAGAAATTAGCATTTGCAAGAATCCGCAGTTTTATGTAGTTCAAGAAGGAGAGGAAGGAGGGCCCTTGATTATAGCAGGACAGAGTGTCCCAGACAGGGAGGGGGATGTAGTTTGACAGATTAAAAAATGGACAAAGGAAAAACTAAAAACAGATTAACATATAACTTAGCAATGCCACATGTGAGTATAGGCCCAAAAGAATTGAAAGTAGGGTCTCAAGGAGATATTTGCATTCTCATATTTGCTCAAGTATTAGTTACAAAATGGCCAAGAGGGAGAAGCGACGAAAATGTCCATCAATAATTGATAACTGATAAAGAAAATGTGGCATATCCATGCAATCAAATATTAGTTGACCTTAAAAAGGAAGAAAATTCTGAAGCAACATGGATGAACCTGGAGACATCGTTCAAAGTAAAATAAGCCATCACAAAAGGGCAAATACTGTACAATTCTATTTTTATGAGATATCCAGAGTAGTCAAAATCACAAAAAAGAAAGAATGATGATGATTGCCAGAGAGTGGGGGAAGGAGGGAAGTGGGAAGGGGTTGTTGGATGGATATAGAGTTTCAGTTTTGCATGATGAAAAAATTCTAATATGAGATCAATCTAAACAACCACGACAGATAACTGGATAAAGAAAACGTGGAATAGGTACACACACACACACACACACACACACACACACACACACACACTGGAGTACTGAAACAAGAAGAAAATCCTGTTGTTTGCAACAATATTGATGAATCTAGAGGACACTATATTAAGTGAAATAATCCAGGCACTGAAAGACAAATAACGTGCAATCTCACTTACATATAGAATCTACAAGAGTGGTTCTCACAGAAGCAGAAAGCAGAGTGGCAGTTGAGGGAGATATTGGGCAGAGATTACAAAGTGTCAGTGAAAACACTGTGAGTAAAGTCTGGGGATCTACTGCACAATATGGTAAATATGGCTAGTAATATGCACTGAATATTTGAAAATTGCTGGGAGTAAATCTTAAACATTCTCACCACAAAAAAATGTTAAGTATCTAAAGTAATGGATATGTTAATAGCTTCATTTAATCATCTAAAATACATTTATCAAAACATCACTGCTTATATACTGTAAATATATACAATTTTTATTTATCAATTTATAGCTGAATGAAACTGGAAGAGGGATGAAAAAGTTCTAGAGGTATATAACACAACAATGTAAATATAGTTAACACATTTAACTATACACTTAAAATGGTTGAGAGTAAATTCCATATTCAACTTCTTTTAACCACCGTTAAAAATTACAAATACAAGAGAGAGATAGAGAGAGACAGAGAGAGAGAGAGAGAAATTTAAAATATGATGGCTCTTTCTTTTAAGGCACTTTTATCTAGATTTTATTAACCCAACCTCCCAAAAAAATAGATCCCAAAGCCCCACGCATCCTCTAAAAAGCCCAGAAAAGGAAAACAAGAGAGAGGAGACGAGAATTACTGGAGTTAATACAAAAATTTTTCAAGTAGACGTGTGGTAAAGTCCTACCATGTGGATTAACAAATGAAAAACACCCACATGAAGCAGGGCCTTGTGACATTTCAGAACTAACTACACAGCAAACAAGTCCTAAAAACACAAAGAAGAAAAGGGCAGGCCCACACTTACAGAGGCAGGCACTAGCTCAGCTGTGCCCTCCAAAGCAGGGCTGAAAGTTAAAGGACTGAAACAAAGCCCTCCATACGAAGGAATATGTTCAAACTGACCAAGGGGCTAACCAAGACAGAGGAAAGCTTAGGCTTTGGGGTCTGGGTCCCACCCAGGCCATGGAGA